TTTAGGTGTTGATGACCTTTAACAAAAAAAGGTGCATACTTATCCACTGAATGTTATAATCCTCGAACAAAGTAAAAGATTTGGCAGTGAAGCAATACGTGTAGACATGTCACTGATATCGGATATTAAGAAGGGTATGTTATTAACAGTTAACATTGCTGTATATTAGATAATTTCAATATCAAACAAATGCAACAGATTGTAGTTTTGAACGCCAAACATTCAATAGTAATTTCCAACCTTGTCTACTCCTAACTGTTGACCCTTCTGGTTTTTGCGGGGATCATATTGCTCAATCTTTATTTTCCTATGTATTTTTTAGTTTAATATTGTTGTTTGTCTTTTTGATCATGTCTGATTTTATGCGAGTTTTGTATCCCTTCAAAAAAAGACTGATTGTTTAGAGTTAAAACCTACTAAATACAGGAAATGGAGTTTCAAGTTTTGTGTGTTCTTTTATTTCCTCTTAGAAGTTCAGTTTAAATCATGTAAAAATACTCATGCAAGTTTTTTTGCCTTTTTTTTAATAAAGCAATAAGCTGCTGTTATTTTATAATAACAAAGTACATTGAATTTAAGTCTTTATCTTTGGAGAATACACTTTGGTGTATGTTGGTTCGAATCAAACTACAGACCAACAAATGTACAACAAGAGCTGTTCCTTTGCTATTTGTGTGTTTTTTGCTGTGTTTTAATGATTTTGTGTCATGGATGGATGCCCCATATCTTTTGTTTATCTTTTATACTGTGAAAAAAATGTATCTTTTTTTTTGTGGTTAGGCCATTTTCTCACATACTATATCATGTTTATATGCAATAAAAGTTAAACTGTTTTTGGTTTTTGTTGTGATATAAATTTCCTAATTTGTATGCGCATATTTTTGTTACTAGTAACCGACCCTTGACAACAAGGGTGTCCCAGATACCCGTATGTTGCAAGGGAGAGGACTAGCCTATCGAGGGGCCTAAATGTCATATTTGTAAACCCTACAACATGCAATTATGAAAACACTATTCAATGCAAGACAACTCTTATTTACTTTATAATATACGCTGTAAAGAGTAATATCATTTCTGTTGTTTGTCGAAGCCAAAACATTTGGACAATTTGTATCAAAGTTGTATTAATCTACAGGTTTATATATGGAATAAAGCTGTACAGCAACGCAAGGTTTAAATGGATAATACTTATGAAAAAAGTGAAAACAACACGTTATAAATTTCATGCGTTCGAAGCGCTTTTCTGGATTTACCTTCATCAGGAACACTCATAGCCGAATATTTGAAAGCCAAGGATGTATAAAAACCTAAACAGTTGAGGAGTCATTTGACCAGAAAGGACCTAAAAAAATAGCCTAATCCATCTAAGGTCAACTTTGCCTGAGGGAGTTGAAACCATAGTTTATGATATAAGGATGTAAAGAGTGCGTTTGAATATGAAGTAGCATAACTGAGATATAATAATGGTGAAATATAATTATTGAAATTTGGTAATTTTTTAAGAGGTATCAACTTTCAGCTATATAACATATAATTGACTCGAGATAATTGATTACATGTGGAATCATACTTCTTTCATCTCAATAGTAAATTTCTCCTGAAGGAATTGTTTTACCTTTTTTTTCTCAGCTGGACTCAAAATGTTACTAGCATATTATTCTGAATCTGTTTTGAAGATCTGTAAATATAAGAATTCTGTTATACGAAATGAAGTAAGTTGCAATCACGTTTTAGCAAGCGTTTTCGCGCTTTATGCAATGTGTCAAGGTCACTGGCTTTTGTTTTTAGGTAAATTTTTCAAAACGCAGCATTCAATTCTATATTAAAACATATTTCTTAAAGTTTAAGAAATAAGTAAAATTAATGGTCTGTATTTCATTTATTATTATTTATTTGTAAAACAAAGTACATTTTAATATCTTCAAACCGAGGCTGATGAAGATTATTTGATCTATTATAGGATTACTGTTTATTGTTAAAGTACAAAAAAATATTTCCGTCTTGTTTAGAAATTGACAGTGACTCAAAAGATTATAAATCATCAATTATAATTCAGCAGCCATAGATCCCAAATGCAATTGGTGGATTGCTGTTCAATCGACATCAAAATGCGAATAATATTAATAATTCTCTGTCTGTGTTTATGACTCTTTTGTCATATTTTGCTTCAGTTGAGTCAGTTCTTTTCAAAAATATAATTTCTGTTGAAATGTCACATTGACTTCAATAAGAAGATGCAATATTATACTTAGGCCATATAACGCTCTGAATGTAAGGCATGAATGTTAGGAGTTTGGAGACAAAACAATTTGAATACCTACACAAAGCATAATTATATTTGTTACAATACAGTTAGTCATTGGTATCAAAATTATTCTTAAAAGATTATAGGCTGAATACGGTATCATTTTAGATCGTTCATCCAAAACATTTTACGCGTGGTTGTTTAACGATTCAATATCCTTAAAAAACATTTTCAATCCTCAATAAAGATTAATGTTTCTTCATAACGTCAGGATTTCTATATATATATTGCTTTTTATCTTTTATCGCAGTTTTATTCACGATCAGGAAAATAAAAAAAATCATCTTCACTGTCCGGAAATCTGGGGTTAGATATGATTTTACGTGGAGGTATCATAATTTACTAACAATAGTTCACTAAAATTATCTCTTTCTCTGTTCATTTCATCCTGGTTTTTAATTTCAGCTCTTCCAATAACACTAGCAATTCTCTTAGCTTCTGAATCACAATGAACCACGAAAAAGTTACCGAAATGATAAGTTTTAGTTATCATTTGCGTTCTATTATCGATATAAAAAAGCCATCATCACCAGTAATTCATGTGTATAGCAGAACTGTTGATTTTCCTCGTTCTATTTAGTTAAAAGTAGATGCATGGTTTAGAGGAAAATAAATAACTCGAAAATTTTTAAAGTTTAATTTTTCAAGTGATAGATATGAAACTTTACTGTCAACTTTTGATTAAAGTTTTTTTTTTAAATGCTAAATTCTGTTCTGCTCCGCGTGTATTCTAAGGGCGTATTTGTTGCACTCAAACTAGTTTTAGTTTAGAGTTTCGGTTTTGAATGCTTTATAGTTTGGTTTAAACCGGTTTCTCACGGTTTACCCGCTTCGAAACAGGTTCTGATAATTGTTTGTTAAACTGTTCAAACCACAAAAGGAAGTTGTATAAGTTTAGGAAACGGTTTCAGTTTTCAAGAGAAAAAACGTTTGGTTAGTAAATGGTAAACTCTGGGGGGCATGACGGTTGTAAATTCGGAAAAGTAGATCTTATATTGCGACAAATTCTGAATATTTATCATTAACAAACACATAAGGGACACTTTTTATTATCATTGACATTTTCAGCTATATCCAACTTTTTGAAGTATAACTTTACCTAAATTCCGAAAATTAAATGGTAATAGCTATTCCCTTATTTAAAACCAGAACGTCTCATGTCGCCATTAAAATAAAACTCAAGTTGGCAGCATGTTCGTTGAAGACCGAGTGGTGCTAAATTTTTTGGACTTTATATTACAATACTTTCCTAAAACAATTTACTCTTTGGATAATAAAAAATCCTAAGAGCAATTTCTACATGCCTATAATTTTAGTATCGTCTCGTATTGTGTTTTCGACCGTCTTAAGTTTTCGACCTAATTCTACTTTCACTTCCCGTATGCTGCGCATGCCCGTGTGACATCATATTTGGCTGCTATATTTAGTAACAATAGCAAATAATACCACGTGTGGTGAAGATGTTTCAAGTAAAGTTATTATAATTAAGTATTTACTTTATTTTATTTGATATCACATTTTTGTACCTTTTCACTAATACTATTTTTACCTTCCACAAGAATCTATAAAAAATAAACAAATATTCTAGAAATATGGCCGAGGTCTTTTTTAGCATGTGAAGTTAACATCAGGGTCATTAAGTCACATGACTGTCATGTGGTTAGTTGTAATACTTAAAGTTATTTTTAATACGGAAATGTGCATGATCCTTAGATCTACAGCTTTTTGCTGGAAAAAATAAAATATCAATTAAATTTAATTCACAGAAAAAGCAGTCTGTCAGGGGAGATTACAGTCAATCCTTACCAACCTCACTTCACAATGCCTTTACTAAAGTATATTGAACATAAACATGACTGTATACAAGGTCCTACAAGGAGGGGCGTAAAAGGGGGGGGGTATCTGCACGGAAGAACGCGAAATAAAATTGCCATTTCACGATGAACGAACAATTAAAAATTTCTTGCACGTTGATCTTTTAACCGATTTCACGAAACACGGTGAATAACGAACCTTTTTCACGGCTGCACGTGAAATAAAAATGGCAAAACACGTTGCACGAAAATAACCCTTTACCACCCCGGCTCTACAAGGATCTACAAGGCTTCCAAAGTGCCTCATGTGAAATGTGTACAACTAGTCAAATAAAGATATCAAAATAATATTTTATATCTTATAGTTGTATATGTCACCATTTAATTCATTAAGTCATAAGTTTGATCCTCTAACACTTTAAATAATTTTATATATACATTGGCATCAAATTATAACCAATTCCGGATTTGTACGACATGTCATTTCCGACTTTGGACCCGTTTCTTATATAGGTCGAAAACACTAAACGCTAGTTTTTGTCAATAAAGGTGCCATCGATCTAATGAACTCAACTAAAAAAAATTATTTAAGATCGAAATATATTTTAGATACAATTATTTAATGTACAAGTATACTAGTGACTATAAAAATTATTAGGCATGTATATGTTCAAACATATAAAAGGGGAAATATTGATAAATATGTTAGTAGGTCGAAAACACAATACACGAGGATATTACGTGCTTTCAAGAACTCGCTTTAACAAGTTTGTAATTATGTTATTCACCTTGAAACACTAAAAGTACATACGTTTATAATGAAATCTGATATATTTTTCTTCTCTACGTCAGATGTGTACGTAAGATTACGAATCTGATCTATATATTTCCCTTCTCCGCATAAGTTTTAGCATTACCCGCACGTTATTCTACCAAGATGTATGTCAGAATTTTAACTGTAATTTTGTTAGTTTCTGTTGTTTTGGATTATTCTTTGGCCAAAAGAAAGGACAGAAAAAAAGATAAAGTTGTACACAAAGGTAATTGTACATTTAGTGCACGTCGTTGTTTTATTTTCATTTGCTTTCCTGTTTCAGGCGCGTTAAACTTTCGATTGTTTTCAAAATTTCCAAAGTTACCTTTTTTTATAGATATATGCATCCCGTACATGCTTTTGTCACACTATTATATATTTATTTGCCATGTATGCATACAAAGTACTTACAATTCAAAAGGGCTGGTAAATGCCGATGTCTACCGTTTTCCCTTTTTTTTTTTTAAGTCGTGTTGAAGAAGTAAAACATGTCTACCTCTTTCTAGTTAGCATGTATATTTTGGAGAAATCCGTTTGCGCCAAAAATACCTCCTGTTGCGCCACACCTCATTTACCCCAATGCTACGTTTGTGCTACTAGTTTGCAAAAAAACCCTCTACAATTTGCGCCGAAAAATAATTTTACCTGTGTGCCTATTCTTGTATAAAATCTTATTTTCATTAAAACAATCTCCACACACGATAAGGACCGGTAGATTACACTCGCTTGAAGGCTGATATGTGTATCTTTTTTAACCACGCATACTTTGTCTGAATTACTAGTATATAAAATAAAGAGATGTTATATGATTGTCAATGAGACAGCTATCCAACAGAGTCCAAATAATGTAGATTTAAATAATTATATGGTACAGCACAAAACCCTGGTATACCGTAAAGTCAGCTGAAAAATTCCTTGTCATGACAAAAAAAATGAAACAATTTAAAAGAAAAAAAACAACTAGCTGATTGATGACAATACAATAAACGAAAGACTGATACAATAGACAGCAATCAACGACAAACACTGAATACCGGCTCCTTACTTGGGACAGGCATATAAAGAATGTGGCGGGATTTAACATGCTTGTGAGCGCTCAACCCTCCCCTAACCTGGGACGATGGAGGTACAGTACAACATAAGAACAAACTTAAAAAAAATTTAGTTGGAAATGGCTTGACTCTTCAGATCGACACGAAGCATAAAAACAACCAAAATAAGAAAGGCACAACGTACCTATCTAAGAGTATTCACAGTAACGAAAGCTAGTTCAACTCCAATTACCACTAATAAATAAATCAGGTTCTCCCACTACTCCCAGACTCAGGTTTATATTTACTTCTTACAGCTGCAGTTTTCATACTGTGCACTTTAGTTCAGGTAGTGTACAGAACACAAATGTTGTAAATACTTTGGAAAGCCCTCTCCAATAAAATTTTACAACACTAGCAAATGATCTTTGATGGTCTCATGTTCGGATACCATTTATGGTTTCTTTGTTTTACAGACGATTCGAAGTAATTGGCGCTCTTACATCCGTGAGTTAGTCTCGTGCAGATAATAATTTAAAGGGCTTTTCACAGTATTTTCAACAGTTGTGTTCTTATCTTTTGCAACCATACGACGGTATATTCTTTTGTTGTTCAACGTCACCTTATTTCTCGACTCTTCAGTAAGGGTACAGCAAATGGACTATGTCACCGATTTTGGTAAAATTTTACATGCAACTTTTGCTCGTTAACCCTTAACTGAAAATCGAAAAAAAATCATATATCTCTTTTATATTCTGAAATATTACTGAATGAATTCTTTCGAAATTGGAGAACATGTGTACAGAAAGCACATAAAATCAGCAATTTACGTTCTTAAATGTGTCTTTAAGTAATCAATTCTCCAATAACAAATCCGTGATAGATTTCTCTTTAAAAATTGTATGTTGTTGATGCACACATTTATGTGTGATTGAAATAAAATATTCATGGAGTCACAGACTTCGTTTTAGGTGTATTAACCAATCTGCTACCTAGTTGATCCTGAAAAAAGTAAAAAAATCGACGTTGACGTTTACGATTTCGACATATTGTGCTATTTTTTTTTACGCATGAGTGATGACTACCGTAATAAACTGCTTCGCTGAGCCCAGCTGGATACGCCCGCAGAGGTCAAACCCTGAACAGTTGGGGCAAAAATGGACACAATATTCAAGCTTGATACAGGTCTGAATTTGGATTGTAATTAAATATTTGATATATTATAGGTTTCTGAATAAATATAGTCAAAGAACTTGAAATTGATTATATGAGAGATTTCTTGCTGTTGTGCAATACACTGTGCTGTTGCCCATTACTTAGTAAATCTGTTGTCAGACTATAAACAAATAAAATCTTATAACTCGGAAACGTAAAATCGAAAATTTATAGAAATCAAAAGGGATCCTTACAAAAATAGATATAAACAATTTACCAAAGTTTCATAAAAAATGCTAAAAGCATTTTTGAGTTATTGTCCGAAAACTGGAAAATCCCCATTTTGTAATGAATAAAACCCCATAAATCGGAAACGTATAGTCTGAAATTTATTAAAATCAAAAGGGAGCTCATGTCAATAGAAATAAAGAATTCACTAAAGTTTTTTGCAAATTGGTGAAATTGTTTTTGAGTTATTGTCTGAAAACTGGAAAATCCCCCCTTTTTTAATGAATAAAACCCCAAAACTCGGAAACGGTAACTCATAAATTTATAAAAAACGAAAGGGAGCTCACGTCAATAGATGTGAACAATTCACAAAAAGTTTCATGCAAATTGGTTCAAGCGTTTTTCAATTAATGTCCGACATGTTGACGACGGACGGACGGACAGACGGACAACGGTATACCATAATACGTCCCGTAAATGGGCGTATAAAAACGAATTCGGTGTCCCTATGTATTAGAGACACATTGAGGGCGTTAGCCCGCATCGGTGTATCTGGTTTACACCAAGATATTATTGTTAATTCAGAATGATAGTTTTCAATAATTTATGAGGTGGTCTTTCAGCTATTTGACCATAAGTTATTGAAAAACATGATAAATGCAGGGTATCCAATTTCATTTAACGACATATTGGTGTAAATATTATCATTTTACATCATTGGTACGAAATTTTATGTATCAACAATATGTTAAAGAAAGTACATACCGTCTGTTTGTGATAAAACATGCAGCATTAGATACGCATGTACTAAGGCTTATTATGATAAAACTTAATTCCTCATAACACATGTATTAGATTTGATTAAAACACAACATTCAATTTTATCAACAAGACAGATTTTTTATCTTGTTTGTTAAAAAAAAACGTGTGAAATAAATCCTATCAGGTCCATGATAAAATTGAAGTGCAGTTATGTTCACTTGGATACTTAGTTACCTACTGACCTAGAGACATAGTATTTGTACTATCCGTGAAAATAAGTTTTCTATAATATAATTATTACTATTATTATGCTATAATTCCGCCTATACTAAAAAAAAGAATACATGTCATGTTTTTATAAAGAAAACACATATTCGTTAAGTGGTTATGGGTGATATTTTGTAGCATCATTTTATTAAATGGAACTCGTTTTTCAATAGAAATCAGCAAAACTCCATGGTTTTGTGGAAGCGAGCACGTGATATTAAGGAATAAGAGCAAAGACAAGCAAAAAATTAATTCCCCTTCATTCACTTAAAAATTGATCTCGATTCAAGTCATGCACATCCTCCGCGGGGACGCTACTGATTAAAGATCTAAAAACAATATGATATTATCATTTTCCGCTTAAAGTAGTACTCGACGGTAGGCTATATGAGTTTTGTTTAAAACTGATTTGAAATGTTGCTATATTGGAATCCATTCTTCGCTTACCATATAGCTCTTCAACAACTGTTTCGGATCTTTTACATCCTTGGCTTTCTAGTATACGGCTTTGAGTGTTCCTGATGAAGGTAAACCAAGTAAAACACTTCGGACGCAAGAAATTTATAAAGTGTTGTTTTCATTTTTTACCAACCTCGAAAATTTTTTCCTCTATATGTATGGTCACTGGAACACGCCAATTACCCGTATATATAACCAACTAGTCCAGAGATATTCAGGAAAAAATACAGTTATGCAAATTGAAACAGATATTATTTCGATATAATTAAACATGTAATGCGAATACACAGAGAAGACCGCGTGTGCATGTACAGAAATCGAGACGACTTGTTTTTTTTTTAATTCGGTAGATAAAAAAAAATTATTATGAATCTACCAATAAACATTCTTCAGATGTTCAGAAGACATCAGTATATATATTTTTGAATTTTGTCTTACATATTTTCATTAGGGTATCAACTTGTTACATTCAGTACAAACTGCAAAAACTACATACACCCTTTAAACTGCAAATAGGAATCGCAATGGCGCAATGTGAATAGAAACAATTAACTTCCGATGCTCTTATTGACAGTGCGTCATTCCTATAATGGCTATCTTTTCTTTTCGTAAGAAAATCTAACGAACTTAAAATCTACCTGACAATGCTCCAATCTACTTATAAACACCTTATTTCATCACCCTCTGAGTTGTATCTATAATACAGTTCTTTTTCGTACCTCCATGGCTCACCAGAATACCAAATCAGATAAGAAGAGAACATGAACCCAGCCTTTTCATTGGTTCTTGATTGTAATTTGTATTACCTGACCCATCAGATATTGATTATAATGTTATTTATTGTAGTGCGCGGAAAGCCATCCAGCATAGAATCATCACCTATTATTTTGAAAATGGAGGAACAAATAAAAGAACTGAAAGAACAGATAGCAAAAATTCCTAAGAATGCCGTACATATACATATGAGTGATGGAAATAATGATGGGAGTGCTACTCGACTGGAATTAGACAATGAGGACCTTCATAATACATCAGTCCATCGAGTAGAGGGCGCAATTGAACTTGACGATCATGAAAAAGCCCATCGAGTAGAGGGCGCAATTCATCTTGACGATGACGATCATGAAAAAGCCCAAGTTGTAACACATGGAAACGAGCAACATATACATATGCACATGCACCTGGAACCTAGTGAATGTAAAGATCATCATCATCATCATCATGAAAACGAAGGTATGCTTTTCGGAATTACTCTTTTTCCTTCTAAATAGGTCTAATGATGTACTGGGTCAAGTGGACGGAGAAGGAATATTGGTATAAAAAGATAATAGTGTAATTGAGAGGTATGGTAAAATACAAGTTTCATCGATTGAAAAAAAAAATGGGACGAATTTAATTTGATATAATCATTGGTTTTGCAAGACAATCGTTGTTTACATGTACGTACACAAAGTAATGATTTTCAATGAAAGTTAGCTAGAATTGATTATTTATTTTTATTTATTTATGTCAGTTGGAAAACCGTTATTTTTAGATATGTAGCAGGACTTTTAAACTTAATTTTCTGCTTTAACTGTTGTTTAATCTGGTTAAATTTATTTGATGTTAACACTTTGATTTGTAGTTTGGACAAATGATAATCTGGCTGACCTTATATTAATTTGTATACATACTCGTTTTAGAATTCCATGCCCATTGCGAAGTTTTCCCGAACAGTAACATAGCAGATGGCGATGACATAAGAGGAGCAATCCATATGATACAAATTGTATGTAAATAATAAAAGAAAATAGTTTATGGTTAGGCACAGACCATTCATCTTTTGTTGGGGCGTGGGTTTTTTTTTCTCTGGCGGACGGAGAAAATTTTGTTTCGACACTAATCAAAAACAAACTATTTTTTTCAGTAACAACGCGGGCTTCCTACTGTCAGATATATGATTCGGTTTATTTCAGTTGCATAATCAAGGGGTTACATAACGTAATCAATAGTCCAATTTTGCCCTTTACTAAATTTTTCAGATTTATTTACGTTCCTTTTTTTTTCTAACTAATACTTCTAGTATCAAATGGGGATGGTCATGTTTTAGTCTTATCAATTATTCTTAAAGGATCCTTTTAAGATTTCATTTATTCAAAAGTATGGATAGAACTGGCATTTTACAGGAATTCTAATTTTATGATTTTATTTCAAATTTTCTAAGTGAAGCGTTCCCAGTGTCCACGGTTGATGTATAATTATTTAGTTGTTGGCTTTTATTGAATTTTCCGTATCATAAATCATTAAGTCGAAGGTTAGTAGCCATTTGCTATTTGAAGGACTTTTCTTTTTCTTCCCCCCTTTTTTTTTTGTATACGATTTTTTTGTCTTTAGTAATAGACATAGACATCTTTGAGGACTGAATTAATCTAGTATCATTCAGCCTTTGTATGGTAGCATTTGATTCGATTTCCAGAAAATTTAAACTGAATCGTTGTTCTATTTTTATACGACCGCAAAAAAATGTTTGTGGTCGTATATTGGTATGACGTTGGCGTCGTCGTCGTCGTCGTCGTCGTCGTCGTCGTCGTCTGGCGTCGTCCGAAGACACATTGGTTTTCGCACTCTAACTTTAGTTTAAGTTAATGGATCTCTATGAAATTTTACCACAAGGTTCAATACCACAAAAGGAAGGTTGGGATTGATTTTGGGGGTTATGGTACCAACAGTAAAGGAATTAGGGACCAAAAAGGGGCCAAAAATAAGCATTTTTGTAACTTCCAGACATAACTTGTGTGTTAGTGTATGGATCTCTCTGACATTGTACCACAAGGTTCCATATCACAATAGGAATGCTGGGATTGATTTTGGGGGTAATTGCCTCAAAATTTTAGGAATTAGGGGCCAAAAAAAGGGGCAAAAAACAAGCATTTTTCTAGTTTCATGACAATAACTTGTGTGTAAGTGTATGGATCTTTCTGAAATTGTACTACAAGGTTCCATATCACAAAGGGAAAGCTGGAATTGAGTTTGGGGGTAATTGCCGAAACGTTTAGGAATTGGGGGCCAAAAAGGGGCCAAAAATAAGTATTTTTCTAGTTTCCAGACAATAACTTGTGTTCAAGTGTATGGATCTCTCTGAAATTGTACTGCAAGGTACCATACCACAAAGGGAAGGCTGGGATTGGTGATGGGGGTAATTGCCTCAATATTTTAGGAATTAGGGGCCAAAAAGGGGCAAAAAACAAGCATTTTTCTAGTTTCAGGACAATAACTTGTGTGTAAGTGTATGGATCTTTCTGAAATTGTACTTCAAGGTTCCATATCACAAAGGGAAAGCTGGGTTTGAGTTTGGGGGTAATTGCCCTAAACGTTTAGGAATTTGGGGCCAAAAAGGGGCCAAAAAACACATTTTTCTAGTTTCCAGACAATAACTTGTGTTCAAGTGTATGGATCTGTCTGAAATTGTACTGCAAGGTACCATACCACAAAGGGAAGGCTGGGATTGAGTTTGGGGGTGATGAATCATAAGGGGGTTCAACAAATTTGGGGGGGGATTTTTTTTTTTTCCTTTTTTTTTTCTTTTAAAATTTTCCATTTTAAGTTGGTTATTTCTGATTGATATTTAAAAGCAAATAATAATGATATTGTAGGAGATACACACCAAACAGGATGTGTAAATTATTATATAATAAGTATTGTGCAATAGCAAGAAATTTTCAATTGCACAGTATTGCACAATAGCAAGAAATCTTCAATTGCACAGTATTGCGCAATAGCAGGAAATCTTCAATTGCACAGTATTGCGCAATAGCTAGAAATATCCAATAGCACAATATTGCGCAATAGCAAGAAATTGTCAATTGTACAGTATTGCGCAATAGCAAGAAATATTTAATTGCACAGTATTGTGCAAAAGAAGATACTTCGTATATATTGCTTATTTCTTGACCAATTTCAATGGGGTTTTATTCTTGAATTCTTGGGGTTCTTTAATATGCTGAATCTAACCGTGTATTTAGTTTTTGGATTGTGGGCCCCGTTTTTAAATTGGTCCATATTGAGGTCCAAAGGGTCCAAAATTTAAACTTTGTTTGATTTCATCAAAAATTGAATTATTGGGGTTCTTTGATATGCCGAATCTAACCGTGTATTTAGATTCTTAATTTTTGGTTCCGTTTTCAAATTGGTCTACATTAAGGTCCAAAGGGTCCAAAATTAAACTTAGTTTGATTTTAACAAAAATTAAATTCTTAGGGTTCTTTGCTATGCTGAATCTAAACATGTATTTAGATTTTTGATTGTGGGCCCAGTTTTCAAGCTGGTCCAAATCGGGGTCCAAAATTAAACTTTGTTTGATTTCAACAAAAATTGAATATATGGGGTTCTTTGATATGCTGAATATAAAATGTATTTAGATTTTTGATTTTTGGGCCCCGTTATCAACTTTGTCCACATTGAGGTCAAAAGGGTCCAAAATTAAACTTTGTTTGATTTCATCAAAAATTGAATTCCTGGGGTTCTTTGATATGCTGAATCTAACCATGTATTTAGATTTTGGATATTGGACCATAATAGGTGAATGTCCAATTTAAAATTTTTAAGTTCTTAGACCACATTCATTCTGTGTCAGAAACCTATGCTGTGTCAAATATTTAATCACAATCCAAATGCAAAGCTGTATCAAGCTTGAATGTTGTGTCCATACTTGCCCCAACTGTTCAGGGTTCGACCTGTGCGGTCTTATCAAGCTGCGCCCTGCGGAGCATTTTATTCTATTTTAATTAAGAAAAAATTGTGGTTTGATAGACGTTCTGGTAATAAATTTTCTTCCCTTATTAACGGCAGCAGCGGTTTGGGTCATCAACAGAAATTCTATACGGGCATCATTTAAGAATTGAATGCTTCTTTTTGTAAATTTATTGGGGTGTAAAAGCGTTGACCGAAATACATTTTGTATGCAGCGCGGAAGCGCTTCATTCTAAAAATGTGCGCACGGTCAACGCTTTTACAACCCTATAAAATTACTAAAAGAAGCATTCAATACTTATAATTACATTATTTTGCTAGGATCACAAAAACACGATTTCTATCAAGTTTTTCTTTTTTTTTCACCTGTGCACTTTATTGTGGAAGCTCTTGTCATCATGAATGTTACATTTCATTTTGAAATGAAGGTTAATTTCAGAATGACGCGAGATTGCTGTTAGCCAATCAAATAAAGTATTATAATGAAACATATATGAAATGTAATTATTCGTGTATAAATTAATTACCTATACATAATATGATTGAAATACAAATCGTTTGTTCACGCTTCGCTTACACGTATTTTGTTTTTGGTCTAATTGTTATTTGGGTTTTCTTTACTATATATCTTTTATTCTCAATAAACCATCATATTGACAAGGTATAGAGAAATACAGATGTACAATATATACAGTATTTACCAAAAATATGGACTTTGCCCTGGCTTTTTATGGGAGAGGTGTACCGATTGTGCACTCGCAACTTCTTAACACCTTATAATATGTTGATGAAACTTTCTCAGAATCTTTACCATATAATTTTATGGTGCACCTTTCATTTTGTTTTGGTGCGAAGTTTTTCTGAGGTTTCCTTTACTAAAGTATGAACTTTGACCTGCCTTAATATATTATTTTTGGGGGTGGGGAAAGGGGGTACCAATTTTGTATTTGACGTCTGTCTGTCTTTATTTATGGAAGCTACATATTCGTGGACTAAAATGAATACATAATCAAATGATATATCGTGATGATTTATCTACTTTAAAATGGAAAAATGGATATATTTATATTTTAAAATAGAAACTTGCTGCACCAATTTTGGGTCGGAAATTTCCATGTTTCTTACATGACGTCCCATGGCTTAGTCAGACGTCAGAGCAATGTTTTTAGGAACAAAGTTGCTCTCACGTGTTCAATGAAAATGACAACAAACGCAGCAAGATATAAAAAAAGAGATCGTTGTTAGAACTATTTAGATAACAAAAAGGTAATGTTTTCAAAATGTCACTTTCTTAATATAGGAAGATGATCCAGTGGAGATCTTTATTGCATTGAATGGTTTTGATATGACGAAAGAAAATCCAAAGCATTCACATGGTTTCCATGTTCACCAGTTCGGTGATACAACCAACTCATGTGATTCCTTAGGAAGCCATTACAACCCCGGTGGAAGTACACATGGAGCACAAGATGCTCACACAAGGTATTTCATTTGCTAGCTCACGATTTTTTCATGTTGTAATATAGTTTTGTTGCTTAAGTCAATAGAACCAAACAGTTTATTTTAGTGACCGGGAATGGGGCCTTAATGCCGTTAATATTTTTAAAGCGGAAGATGAGTTGAGATATACAATCGATTGTCTGCCAGCATAAAATTAGTAATTCAACTTCAGATTTTGGTGGAAATCAATTATTCAATGTCAAAATTTGAGGAAACAAATGATCAAAATCTGCCCCGGAATAATATTATAATCATATGATAAGTTAAGTGTGCACCTTGCATATGTGTAGGTCTAAAATTTGCACATCTACATCGGATGAGGAATTCGATTTGAATTGGAAATGGATCATTAGCAACTCCTTATTCTGGTAGAATTGAGCTGGGATCTTAAATAAGTGATATTCATGTATGAGTTTAAGAGATTACAAGAAAAATTGAAATCTTTATTTACATTACATAAATCTTTATCATCTACAACCAAAATATCTTAGATTTCTTTATCATCATGACTATAAAATAATTGCCTTCAAACTTTTCCATTGCGCAGGTTTTGTTGTGATGACATCAAATTACAGAGTTGATTCCATTTCTCGGTTTTAAGGATGTTTGCTACTATGTTTCAAAATAACAAGCTTTTTAAAAGACTGTTATAAAATGATAGTATGTAAATAAAGGAACTGAAAAAGCAGAAAAAAATGAAGGGTCCGTGTGCTTGTTTTCGAGATATAAGCCATTGAAAATTTGGCGGGAAATTATTCTCTCTAGATTTTTCATACTTTTAACATTGACCGCTTATCTCTTTTAAAAACTATGAAAAAATAACAAGAATTTTATAAGATTTTCAAATAAGGCTTTTTAAACTATATGTAATAAAATTATGAAAAGAAAAGTAGGGGTTAGTGGACAAAATGTTTTAATGGAAACACATGGATAAAACCAGAGGATTACGAAAAACTGGCAAAAAAATCAAAAACAAGAGGAGCGAACATCCTTAAGGTTAAGAATAAGTAGGAAAAATACTTCAAAATCAACTGTCAATGTCAATTAATATTTCAACTTTGGAAATTTAGGCATGTAGGAGACCTTGGAAATATTGACTGTGATATGAATGGAGAGATTGACCATAAAATGAAGGATGAGACGATCACTCTTCATGGTAAAAATTCACTGATTGGTCGAAGCATTGCGGTGAGTCCTTTATATAATACTTTTAATGGAAATGTTACGGACCATAATAAGATGATATCAACATTTAACAACTGGTAAAGCATTACAACTGAAAGAAAGAATGTTGTATGATTGCCAATGAGGCAAGTATCCACCAATGACTAAAGTTCAAAACAACTAACAAAAGACAAGACACAGCTTTCCGATCTGAGAGTTCTCGCAAGTATTGAAAGCATTTCAACTATTAAAATAAACCATGTTTTCCAGACTAGAATATCAAATAGTACGCCTTCGACGAATTAAGTGTAAAGACATCAAAGGCAGGGTGAGAAAAGCATGACCTTGTGGAATTCAAAAACACGAAATCCCTGATTTGATAATTAAATTTAATATACTTAGGTAATGTTACGTTCATTGAAATTTAAAACTCCGTTGCAGACACGATAAGCAAAAGAATTGTATACTTTTTATTTACTTCTCTCTGTTTTCCTTGCTCAGAATATTTGCAATGCACAAGATCTACTTATTCGGTTTAAAAATAGGTCAAGGAAAAATTTTAAAAAGGTAAGATGTGCTAATGTCGAATGTTTAATTTCCTCGATTTAAAATAGCCTTTCCATTTAATCATCATAACACTTTAAAGTTATCTCTGCACATAAAACATAACAGCACTCAGGACGACGTAAAGCAAGTTATAATCAATCAATCAAACATAACAGAAAAACTATCAGAATATTTGCAATGCACAAGATCTACTGAAGGACTGTCTATTTGTAGATTTAGTTTTTCTGTTATGTTAGATTGATTGATTATAACTTGCTTTACGTCGTCCTGAGTGCTGTTGTGTTTTATGTGCAGAGATAAGTGTTATGATGATTAAATGGAAAGGCTATTTTAAATCGAGGAAATTAAACATTCGACATTAGCACATCTTACCTTTTTAAAATTTTTCCTTGACCTATTTTTAAACCAAATAAGTAGTGCTGGACATTGAAATTTATCGGAACTACAACAAAACTGATAATGAAATCTTTACTAGCAGGGAGGCATATTATAACTACAACAACTGTACGTTAGAAATTTTAATAAGCTTCTCATAACCGAAACAGAAAATTCTGGACTGACATGAAACACCGTATTTCTTTAATTTTAGTTTCAAAAAAATCACTCTGGATTAATACTATTGTGCGATTTAATTATGTAAAATTGAAAGTGTTTTGCAAGCAATCTCACTTAAACCCATGTGCCAGCTACACAATCTAATTAATTGTTTCGAAATGTAAACAATATCGAAGACTCTTGTCTATTTCATTGAAGATCGTATTAAGTTGACCACTAGATGTCTTTCCTGGTTGTAAGATGTTATTTGTTGTAATCCCATTGACATATTTCCCGCATTCTCCTCTAATAGACAAACACCAGTTTCAAAACACTATACACAAAAATAACAATTGATCAACACGATTCTCACAAAAATAACGATTGATCAACACGATTCTCACAAAAAATAACGATTGATCGACACGATTCGCACAAAAATAACGATTGATCATCACGAATCAACACGGTCCTGAAAAATAATGATTGAAAATTAAAGATTGGTCAACACGATTCTAACTAAAATAATAATTGATGAACACGATTCTCGCAAAAAAATCTGATCGATCATCACGATTCAATACGATTCTAAAAAAATAATGATTAATAAATAACGATTGGTCAACACAATTCTCACAAAAAATAACGATTGGTCAACACGATTCTCACAAAAATTACGATTGATCAACACGATTCTCACAAAAATAACGATTGATCAACACGATTCTCGCAAAAATAAAGATTGATCAACACGATTCTCTCAAAAAATAACAATAGATCAACACATATTCTATTCAAAACATTGAAGCTTAAATAGCATTTATTCCACATATTTCAGATTCATGAAGGACCTGATGACTTAGGAATGGGAGGTGATGCCGGAAGTTTAAAGGGAGGTAATGCTGGGCCTAAGGTTGCTTGTTGTGTCATAGTACTTGCAGATCCAAAACACCAACATCATATAAACCTTGATGATCAAGCCGGTGGCGCTAAGCATGAGGGTCACACTGGATTGGATATCCATGAAGTTAAACCGTGACCAGATAACCGAGTGTAAACGGTTATATTTCATGCAAATTTGTAAGATCTTATCAGGAACATGTGTACATATAATTGTACAAAAGAAACATAGATGTATGCCTTTTAGATTAAGAACGAACGCTGATGAAATACATAATAAAATTCAAGTATATAGTAGCTGAAGTTTCTTTTGTAATTTTATTCCAAGGTTTCTTTAGTTATGGTAGTATTCGTTATATAAATGATCGTATCAACTCTTCCACTTTTCGATTTGGTTAAACAATGTCATGTTCAAAAATGGGTGCCTCCATATTTTGATAATACTGAAATATCTCTTCTATCTTTAATATATCTACACAAAACACACTGATTACACAAAGACTGAAGATGTTCAACTATTGGACCCATTTGATATATTTTCTCAGGTTTACCATGTTTTGAACTTAGTTGTTTTTTTTTTTTGTGATTCAGTGCTATAGAAGGTAACTAGTCTATGTTATGTGTAACGCCATTTTTTTCCTTTAGCATTATTCAAACTTTGCACAATTAATCCCCACAGATTGAAGATTTACACATATCAGGGTTGACTTGAATTATTTTTCTCAAGTTGCCTTTTGTAAAACTTAGAATTTTTTGTCATTGAATTATATACAGGGTACCTTGTTTGTTTCGCGTTTCACATTTCACATTAACAGTTTTCCTTCAACTTTTACACTTTGCACTTTGGACCAAATTTGGAATTTCTTTTTATCTTAAGAATTTGTCTAGGTTTTTTTTTACTTTGCAACGAATCCTAAACAACATAAAAATCTTCCGTTATCGTATAATTACAAGTTTCTGACTACAGTGCCATAAAGATTAAACCATGATTATTTAGTCTGAGGAGTTCCTAAACTACCGTTTGAACTGCCATAGACAGGCATATTTATTGATAGCACATTGATGACAAATGACGAAATTCCCATACTTATGAACTTTCCAATATTTAAGGTGATGGAGGTTGTTCTTCGAAACGTATGATGCAGGACCAGACACGGTATTGCTCTTGTTGTGTTTTTATAAGAACTTGTGTCAAAATTCTCGCTGAGAAAGCTAGCTTTAAACGGTTAAAGTGGTTGAATTTGTAGGTTCCAATGTGTTTATTCATCTTTGGTTTTTCAACTTTTTGTTGTGTACCTGTCCTGTACAAATTTATGTAGTAAGGCGTTTTAGATTAATATCTTTTATATTGTATTGTTTGAATAATTATGTTGAACATATGGTATACATGTATGACGAGGAATGTTACTACGCATTAATAAAGATAAATTAGCTGAAAATAATAACAATTTTCAGTTCAGAAGGATTTTATAAACATGTGATTTAAATTGTTTTGTTAGACATAGTTAAAAGATACCAAAAACACAAGTCAAGGAAAGAAGGACAACACTTTTACCAACACGAAAAGGCAAGCAACAGCCCATATAACAAAACAAAAATGATTACTTGAAGAACCTAATATAAAATATTGAGGAACATGAAAACCAGGGGGAATTTAGATGCTACGTAAGAATAAGGAGTTCTTGCTCCACTGGCGACACACGTTGAGTGGTTCAATACATTCGATGAATTCATAAACGACAAAAGATACATATCCGTGGTCATCTGAGACACCGACAATTCTTATTTCATATATAAATAATGATAGCTTCATAAAGACTTTCGAAGAGACAATATATTTGTTACGTTTGGAGGACATGTTTTTCAACAAACAATCGGCATTCCCATGGGGACCAACTGTGCTCCTTTTCTTGTCGACTTATTCCTCTATTCAAACTAGGCTGACTTCATACAAAAGCTTTCAGCTTCCCAATTGTGAACTTTCCATTTCCATGTAGCAACATTCCAGGAGCGCCTGCATATGGAGTATATATCTCCCAGTTGATATTCCAGGGCTTGCATTTCATATCATGATTTTCTTGATAGAGGGTTGTTGCTCACAAGGAAGCTCTTAAAGCAAGAGTTCTAAGTGGTGAAGTTAAAATCATCCCTTCGAAAATTTTACGGACGCCATCACAACTTGGTTGACCGTTATGGAATATCTGTTTTACTGATGATGACGAATATTTATTAAATTGTCGTAACCACAATCCCGAATGTGACCTACAAAATAAGACTTATTACCGGATTTGTTCTTACATTAGCAACACGACGGGTGCCACATGTGGAGCCGGATCTGCTTGTTCTTCCGGAACACCTGAGATCACCACCGGTCTTTGGTGTGGTTCGTGTTGCTCAGTCTTTAGTTTTCTATGTTGTGTTTGGTATACTTTTGTTTGTCTTTTGGCCCTTTTCTTTTTTTGCAAGGCGTTGTTAGTTTATTTTCGACTTATGAGTTTCAATGTTCGCCTCTCTTTTTTAGAAATCATAACAAATATATACAAGTTTTATAACCATAGCGTAAAATATGAGCTACAATTATACCAACAAGTGTTTAAATTGCACTTATAAATTGATTCCTCCTTGAGATGTGATTTCTCCCGCTTATAACAAATGAGGTCCTTTCGTGTGATGTTGGGTGATAAATTAATCGTACATGACACAAACTTAGCTCATCCTTTCGGTAAAGATGAATTAATATACACATTCATAATTCACTGATTTTTCTAAATAATCTTATTTCGGTTTTGAAGACATCGGTGTCTTTAATTGATGCTAATAATGCGTTCCAGTCTATATTTGCACAGAGAAGAATTGGTGAGGAATCTTTTCCTTTGATTACTATGAGCAACAAGGCTGATCCATCTTGTGTTGTATCAATGATGTTCATGAATAAAGGAAATGGTCTTTTATATTATACTTTCACACAATCTTATCAACCAGAAAGTTTCTTATTTGTTTAAATGGTCCATCTGTTGCAGATTTATTTGCAACAATGTATTTAAAGTCTTCTTCTGTATTGAAGTAAATATTCTAACAATGTATTATATTTGGGGCCTTTTATATCTGATTATGCGTTTTGCTCATTTTTCTAGGCTAAGTTGCTTAAATTCATTTCATTCAGACTCTGTTGAAAATTTGTCTCATAGGCAAGCATACCACATCTCCTTATTTTATATAACTGGAACATCACCGTTCAAAACAAGGAAAATTGTTAATTTTCCTTGTTTTGAACGGTGATGTTCCTTTGGCCACTTCTTACGGTACATGTACATTTCCCAACTCGTTCGTGCCTGTTGTGACGTTTTAGATTTCAATGCACGTAATCTATGTACAACTGTTATATTCGTTTTTCTTTTGTTGTTTTATTATAAAACAGGCCGTTGCTTTTTTCGTTTGATTGTTTCACATTCTGTCATGTTGGGGTCTTTTATTGCTAACTAACGGTATTTGTTTTGCTCATTGTACATTGCCGCATGTTGACTTATAGTTGCTTTAATTCAAGTCATTTGGACTCTGTTGGATAGTTGTCTCTAATGCAATCGTATCACATCTCCTAATTTATATATTTTAAATATTCTTTTCATTTGTCGTTATACATTGTGAGGGTTTGTCTCAATCGCAACTGCTGAATTAAAAAAATAGATGTGGTTTGATTGCCAAATAGACAACTCTCCACCGGATAGAAAGAACGTTAGAACGAGGAAGTAAGAAATGAAATTTCCAAAGAATTAACGAACACATACATTTTTGGAAAACAATTCACAAGAGTTTTTTTTCGTTGCGCTGATCTGTTGAAGTGGTACGCAGGACGAAAAACTACATTCTGCATGAACACATCAAAGAACTATCAGACACATTTAAACAAATAAAAATAGAATAAGAAAGGGAATAATGATAAGTGTGTATTATAATTATATATTATTAAAATCTGACATATTTTCTCTCTAAAAATTCTGCCTTCAGTACTCTCTTTGTATGTGAACTATACGGCAGCTATTGTTAAAGACAAATGTGACTAAGTAATATGGCTTTATGATATTCTTAACACATGACATACACAAAATCTTTTGTTCTTACTGTGCTATAATCTGGATAATGCATAGCTAAGGTGTGCATTAACTACGAAAGATAAAATGCACAGATCAATGTACTCTTACCTAAAGTGGCGGATCCAGGATTTTTTCAAAGGTAGGCGTACTTAAAAAATGAAAGAAATACCGCTGAGCTGGGCGATACTAAATTTTTTAGTTGACGGCGATTTTCTCTGTTCAGGACACGTTTGCCATTCCCCTGAGTGCAAAAGTTGGCAACTTACCCTAATTTTTGTAGATACAAAAAAAAATGAAGTTATGGACTATCATTGGTTAATTGTCATTAATTGATTGAATGTCCTATTCATGATCTTTTGAAATTGAACAAGCTAAGATTTGATAACAGTTACTATTCACTAATAAGTTTTTGGATTAAAAAAAGGATTGTAAACAATTAGACCTATTGTCCAAAGCAAATCTTTTATGGTAACGTTAGTACAGATAATCAATAGTTCATATCATGAGTGTCAATAAATAAAATAATATAAATAAATATTAAGTGTCCAAAAAAAGATTAAAACGTTGTATTTAGGTAATTATGTAACAAGACATTTCATTGGTAAAACGAAGAAAACCTGGGATCTTTAAGCCAGTCGACAACGACAATTTTAAGCTGATGCGTTGGACTATTCGGCAGTTGCCATGAGATTCCAGATTCGATAAAATTTTAGTTTTTTTAGGAGTTATTCGTTCTTACCAGGTAATTCTTATTCAATTTTTTGAAACGTTAACTTTATACAGAAAAATATTTTTTTAAAGTTAAATTTTGTAATTTAGTATAATTTATACAAGTGAAACCGTTTTTCATTTTATTGCATACACTTTTAAGCTAAATTCAGAAAGTGTTAATGATGAAATAATGCAGAAAACATTCAATTCTGTTCAAGTGATTTATTTCATGAGTATTAATTAGTTAATGCAATTGATAATCTAAGTTCACAGGAGATTTATATATTTGAAGCGTAATTTATTTTCAATAAAGTATAATGGAGTTATTTACTTTCTTCAAAATATAGAATTATGTGTTTACTATATGAGCACTTTTTCTTGCTTTTGGAAATTAATGTTGATACATAGTGCTATTTCATGAGCGCAAACAAATGGTAAGTTTCAGTTTATTTCATAATATAATGAGTATATTATAGGCCGTACGGTTGCCTATAATTTGCTTACAGCCACTTCATTTGAACTTTGGTGGATAGTTGTCTCATTGGCAATCATACCACATCTCCTTATTTTTATGCCCCACCTAGGGGCATTATGTTTTTCGGTCTCTGCGTCCGTTCGTTCGTCCGTCTGTCCCGCTTCAGGTTAAAGTTTTTGGTCAAGGTAGTTTTTGATGAAGTTGAAGTCCAAACAACTTGAAACTTAGTACACATGTTTCCTATGATATGATCTTTCTAATTTTAATGCCAAATTAGAGTTTTGACCCCAATTTCACGGTCCACTGAACATAGAAAATGATAGTGCGAGTGGGCAGCTTAAAGTTTTTGGTCAAGGTAGTTTTTGATAAAGTTGAAGTCCAATCAACTTGAAACTTAGTACACATGTTCCCTGTGATATGATCTTTCTAATTTTATGAGATTCCAGATTCAATAAAATCTGGAATCTCATGGCAACGCACATTTAATAACAACAATCAAATTTTCATTTAAATGCACACAAGATATTTTTCAATATAAAAAGTAAATCATGAAGATAGCAAAAACTCATAAATTGAAATGTATTAAATAATCATTTGTGGATCGCGGTATTTCTGTTCTTTCTCTATTTATTTAGGAATTCCAACAGAATTCTGTTTTGTACCAGTCCGGCTAAAGTCCATACGACATAGGCCTATCTTATAACATATGTCATATGCATTTTCTTTTTCTTTCATTTTTATCATGTTTATAACAAAACTTTAATTTGATTTAAAAAATCATTTTCATGATTCAGAATAGACTATAATTATTAGACAGTGCATAATAAGCCTATTTGGCTAGTGATTATTTTGTATTATAACACATGTATTTATTTGTTTTTTTATAGGTTGCAATATAAAAAAAATCTTCTTTTTTTCTTCTTAGGCTGAATGTCAAGTACGACAAATGTATGAGAGGAAAGTCAAGTTTTGTAAATACCATAACCTCACTTATTCAAGCTTTCAAAACAAAGTATTGAAATAAACAATATATTCTGTCTCTGGTCCTTTCTAATTTCATGTTTGCTTGTTACAGATATGTTAAAAGAAGAAACTATCTCCAGATAAAGACGATGACAGAAGAAGATGCCAGCGATTGCTCTTCTGTAGGAAAAAATAAAATAGGAAGCATTACCAGAACATTCAATGTTAGTTTCCCTTCACGTGACATTATAGAAACTAATTCTAAAAGTAAGTTTTCATTACCATTATTGAACATACCAGGATAAAAAGATAAAAAAAAGGAGGAGACAGCAAGGGAAAGTCAAAAATCAAATGATAAACTAAGCGATATACAGAAACCATAGACTAAGCAACAGAACCCCTCCCCCAAAAAAAATAAACCAATATAATATTTCCACATAACCATTTTTGACTCCGGAGTTAATATTTTTTCGATAGGTTACCTAATCTGTGGTAGGACATTTTGGTACTCAGTCAGATAAAAGGAACTAAAGAAATAAAACCAAAGTTACAATCGGCGCAGTTTGAGGACAAAAATTAACTGTTTTATGTTCTCTATACATGAAAAATCATTGGAAAACCGTAAACTGTTTCCCCAAAGAGCACCGATTGTAACCATGACTTTACTTCTTTTAGTTGCTCTTACTTGACCGAGTACCAGAATGTCCTACCACAAAGTAGGTAACCTGAGTTACACCCGAGTAAAAATTCGGTAATATAAAAAAAAGTCTATTACTTCAGTAGCGTGAGCAGTATTACTGTTCCTGTCCCATTAATGGCACATGTCGTGTATCTCATGACAAATAAATTCAAATCGATTGTAAGCCATCGACGGTGACAGGAGGATAGGATAACAGCTACGACATTGTTTGACTCATAACGATCAAACTTGGCATGTATGCTTACATTTGAAGGGTTGACTCCAACTTAAATATTTAAAAGACCCTGATTCAGTAACTTCATTGTGCACAGCAACCATATTTTAAGAAAATTCTACTAGGAAACATGCTCTGAATATGTTTTGTTTCAATTGGAAATACCTATATGAAAATACTGAGATGTAATAGGATTGCCAATGAGATAACTATCCACCAGAGCTCAAATGAAGTGGATATAAGCAATCATTGGACACCGTATGTCCTTCAACTAATATGCAAAAATCCACACCGTATAGTCATCTATAAAAGGCTTCGACATGAAAGATGTGAAACAATTCAAACGAGAAAAAAAGCAGCTTTACTTATAACAAAACAATTTACGAAAAGCAAGTATGACAGACATGAACCAATGACAACCATTAAACTACAGGCTCCTGACTTGTGCCAGGCACGTAAAGAATATTCAAAATGAAAGCATTTTTTTTTTATATCAATGCATTTTCTTGGCATGTCTGGTTTTGTTTAATTAAGAATAGTTTAATGAAGACACAAAAGTAACAGGAGAGGTTATTTTCGTTAATTTTGCGATGAAGATAATATTGTGAAAATATTTTATATTAATTAAAGACAAGAATACATGGTGGTGTATGTTTGATAGGGGCAAATATTTCAACAGGCCTCCTATGCACCACTAAAAGAGTTGCCGAAAGTATGGAACGCCATGACTGTCTTCTGATGTTGATTGTTAAATATGTTCGTTGCTTTATGCATTACGTTCAGTAGTATTTATATTTTGTTCAGTAGTTTCATATTATGTTCAGTAGTTTTGACATTATGTTCGGTGCTTTGGTTATTATGTTCAGTAGTTTCATTATTATATGCAGTGGTATTTAAATTATGTTCGGTACTTCTGACGTAATATTCAGTGCATTTTTGATTATGTGCAGTACCATCGACATTATTGTTCAGTAGATTCAATATTATTTGCAATACATTATGTATTACCTTCAGTGGTCCCGGTTTCTTTATATTCGGCAGATTATTCATTATGTTCAGTAAAAGCATCAGTATTATACTCGGTTCAATGAACTATATGTTCAGTAGTTGTATCATTATGATGATGCAGTGAAAGTCGGGAAATCAATAACGGAAATTTTCAGAAAAAAACGAACGCGGATATTTTCGACGGACGTTTTCTTCATGGACACTTTAACGGGATCAGGAATGAAAATGGAAGAACTGGAAGCAGTATTAAATTGGTTTGGTTTACGTTGACACGTTGGCAATTTTCACAAGGAAAAAAAAATACTCCTGACTTAATTTGTTAGATGTCATGATTGATTGATTGTTTGTTGTTTTCTGAACGTACAGTGGCAAATATTTCACGCATATTTATGACGGAGAGAAGAATTTTCAAACAAGAAATAAGAAGTTGCATGCGTTGTCGTTGATACACCATGACCTTAGAGAGACGACAAAAAGACAAACAGCAAAAAATAAAATATAAAAACATATTCTATAGCTTTTGTATTCCTTGTAGGTAACCCTTTTTGTTGGTTGGTTGTAGCATATTTATCTCATTCACCGACTTTTAAGAGACCACGAAAAATCTCCTTGCAGATACTCCTATAGTATTCTGCATCCTACCCCGCTTATAGGCGCTTAAATATCAGATATTTATTTGAAATAACCCAAGATAAATGAGGTTGTGGATGAGGTTTACAGAATAGAGAAAGTTGATTCATAAATAAGACCATATCAATGATAATTCATGGTAACACGGATTAGCCTCGAACCTGTATCTGGATATTGTCAATCTATTCCTCTTTAATTTGGCTATCTTTGGTGGATCTAGAGACTAAATCCAGAAATGTTTTTAAACGCTCTGTTCAAAAACAGATATTAAGTTATTGGTTTGGGTAGTTTCTAGTCTCTTATGAAACAAAAAGGGCCATGTTTTATGCATTACTTTAAAATAATAAGAACCATAACTGTACAGAAATGGTGAAAATTTGCACAATTAAAGTTTTGCACTTTGTATTTTGATATTCATTACCCGTCTAATGTAATCATATTTACACTTAGACCTAGTTAGTTTTTGTGTATACAGCTTGAATTTGGAAGATTAAAAAATCTTAATAAATGATTTTAAAATGACAATCAAACTGATACTCAATGTTCATTTTTTGTAGCACTTTGTATAATATTTCATTCTATACCCTTGCATACCAGCATAAATTTCAATGTAGCTATTTGAATGTATGAAATTTATGACTAGTTGTTTTCTGGTTTTTCTGCTATTGCAGAGCTTTTTGCTGTCATTTTTGTCTGAATTCTATCACGAATTGTTTTATCATTGTTGTAATAATTTCTGACACAATACAGGAGAAGAATGTAAGATTATCTTTGTCTGCAATAGTGGACGAAATAGTACGTCAAGATTTGTTAACTCGTGCAAGATCGTGATTTTCGAGGAAAATATCGAATGTACATAATTTGCATGGTAACATCAATTAACCAGTTCTGATTACGACCAGTTCAACATTTCATTCCATATCAATAATAAATTCGGTATGCAGAAAAAGTTTAGTTATTCTGTTAATCATTTAATTCTGTAATCACTTTTTTTTTTACCTTTTTCCAAAGTTTTAAACATTTTTTTAAGCACCCCTTTATTCTCTATTCTTTATTTTTTTGCTCACCTTTTCTTTTTTGAGGGTAGGGGCATTATTTTCTATTCTGTAAACCTCATCCACAACCTCATATATCTTGGGTTATTTCAAATAAATATCCGGTATTTAAGCGCCTATTAGCGGGGTAAGATGCAGAATACAATAAGAATATCCAGAAGGAGATTTTTGGTGGTCCCTTAAAAGTCGGTGCATGAGATTAGTATGCTACAACCAACCAACAAAAAGGGTTACCTTCTAGGAATACAAAAGCTATAGAATATGTTTTTATATAATTTTTTTTTTTGCTGTTTGTCTTTTTTTCGTCTCTCTATAGTCATGATGTATCAACGACAATGCATGCAACTTCTTATTTTTTGTTTAAAAATTCTTCTCTCCGTCATAAATATGCGTGAAATATTTGCCACTATACGTTCAGAAAACAACAATCAATCAATCATGACATCTTACAAATTAAGTCAGGATTAATTTTTTCCTTGTGAAAATTGCCAACGTGGGAACATAAAACAAACCAATTTAATACTGCTTCCAATTCTTCCATTTTCATTCCATCCCGTGAAAGTGTCCATGAAGAAAACGTCCGTCAAGAATGTCCGCGTTCGTCTTTTTTTCCCGACAATTTCCGTTATTGATTTCTCAATTTTTACTGCATCATCATAATGATACAACTACTGAACATATATTTCATTGAACCGAGTATAATACTGATGCTTTTACTGAACATAATGAATAATCCACCGTTTAAAAGAAACCGGGACCACTGAAGGTAATACATAATGTACTGCAAATAATATTAAATCTACTGAACATAATGTCGAAAGTACTGAACATAATGCAAAATGCACTGAATATAACGTCAGAAGTACCGAACATAATTTAAATACCACTGCATATAATAATGAAACTACTGAATATAATAACCAAAGCACCGAACATAATGTCAAAACTACTGAACATAATGTCAAAACTACTGAACAGAATATGAAAACTACTGAACATAATATAAATACTACTGAACATAATGCATAAAGCACCGAACATATTAAACAATCAACATCAGAAGACAGTCATGGCGTTCCATACGAAAGGGTTCTTTAAAGGCACTCTCCCTACACGAGGCATCGGATTTAACATTCTCATTCAGATGAGACGTGGCCAGGTTCCCCTTAAAAAAAATGTAATTTATAGGTAAAATTTTCGTCAAGCATGTTTTTACAGTTTATTTATACTTTTATAATGTTATGATGAACTCTCGTACCTTAGCGTGCTGTACACTAACAGTCGGGACATTTGTTTCAGGGAACCGGATTTGGCGTGGAATTAGAGTTGTGGTCCATACAATACTTCCATCATTTAAAAATCTAAATACGACGACACGACAAGCAAAATTTATCCGTTCTGACGACAGACGTTGAATTTCATTAAAAATGCCGACTGCTAATCATACCCACTGACCCGAAGGAAATTAAATATTTGATGAATTAATCTTGCGACTCCTCCTAGAATTCATGTAGGAAAATAGGTGATATTAAGGTACGAAGTGAGATACCTTATCTCTAGATGATACAATGTATATCAGTGACCGCTGTGGATAGTAAACTTGGAATTGATAGTAAATAGCAAACAAGTTATTTCTAGTACAAATGTATATTTATGTTCATATGATACAGAAAAAGCGAAAATAATTAAAATTAATAGAAAACAAAAAAATAACGGATTTTGGAAAAAGAGGGAGGGCTAAAAAAAATTGTCTCGTCCTCAAGTACCAATGATAACGATAACGTTTAATTTATATTGGTTCATTTATTTGTTCTTTTAAAAGGTGATGTAGCGAAAATTTATTTCTTCTTTTACGCGTTTTTATTTCATTTTTGTCAGATTTTGAACAAAATGAAGAATTCAAGGAATTGATGAAAAAAATGCAAGAAGTGATCACAGATTTAACAAAACAAAAGAACGATCAGAATAAAAACCAAATTCATATTCATATTCATAATGACGACGACAATGATGATGATGATGACATCGATTATGATGCTGATGATGACCATAATGATGATGACGACGATGATGATGATGATGATGATGATGATGATGATGACGACGACAGTGATGATGAGGACGACGACGATGATGATGATGAGGATGATGAAGAGGACGACGATGATGATGATGACGAAGATGAGGAGGAGGATGATGACGACGACGATGGTGACGATGAGGATGATGACGACGATGACGACGACCATTATAAGGGACAACATATCCATATGCATTTGTATTTTGACGGCAACAAGTTTAAACCTCTTACTGCAGGAGGGACATACATGTCTTCCCCTGGATTACTGCGAGAAGGACATATGTGTCTTTTGTGTAAAAAAAGTAAGATTGTTTTTAACATTTCATAAAATATCTAAAACTATCCCTTTCTTTATTTATTGCATCATTTCATATATTTGAATACTTAGGTGGTTATTGCTTTTGCAATTTTTCCCTTTTATTCTTCTTTTTCGTAAAAGTCATCATTAAGTCCAATATTATTTGACTATCATTTGACGTCAAAATTGAGTTGACGGCAAGGTAGCGCTTCAGAATTTTGGATCAACCAATTTGGATTCTTCTTATTGATTAGTTATTGTTACAGAAAAAGTTACCATAAACAAATAATTATTGAACTAAACAAGGAAATATTAGTAACATTTTGTAATTGGTGTATCCAACAAACAATTTGGATCAAATGGAGTAGACCCTCTTACTGCGAGCGGAACGTTATGTCAAATATGCAAAGTGGCAATCTTGTTGTTTGCAATGGTTCGCTTTCTTGTACAGACCATTAAGGCAATTCATGAATAAAACAACGGTACTGACAATTAAGGCAATACATGAATAAAACAAACTGTACTGACAATTAAGGCAATACATGAATAAAACAACAACGGTACTGACAATTAAGGCAATACATGAATAAAACAACAACGGTACTGACAATTAAGGCAATACATGAATAAAACAACAACGGTACTGACAATTAAGGCAATACATGAATAAAACAACAACGGTACTGACAATTAAGGCAATACATGAATAAAACAACAACGGTACTGACGATTAAGGCAATACATGAATAAAACAACAACGGTACTGACAATTAAGGCAATACATGAATAAAACAACAACGGTACTGACAATTAAGGCAATACATGAAGAAAACAACGAAAATGTACACGGTGATATAATAAATATATGAATTAATGAATCAAAGATTACTGACGTGTAATAAATTGGCAATAAAAAAGCCATTAAAAAAAATCAGAGTAGATACTGAAAATATAGCATTTTGTACAAAACGATTTTGTAAGAGTATGTGCAAAAAGGAAAGATGCCAAGCGAATATTGAAAAAAAAAAAAAAAACATTATTCGGCAAAAAACAGACAAAAACTGAAAACTAAGTTTATCACAAAGGAGATGACAGCTCCCATGACAGATTAATCTTTTTATATGAATATTCACTCGTCAGTATTTTCCTCAACGATTTAAAGACCTTTTTCCACATTTGTTTTTACCAAAATGCACGAATTCCACTTCGATTTCTTTACCTTTGAACAATAATATTAAAGTTTTAAATCAAACTGTATGGTGTGCGTCCATGACCAAATAATCCCTATTACATTTGCATTACAGTCAATTCGGATTTGTAATTTCGAAAAGAAAAAAGATTATTAATTTGTGTAAAATACCTTTTTTGGTTTTTATGTTCTAAACGTATACAGTATTGATTTGTTTATTATATTATAATATATTTTATAGCATTGAAGTATTTTCCTACAATATTAAACCTTTTTATTATGTTAAAAAAAATAAAATAACAAAAACACCGAACTCCAAGGAAAATTTGAAACGGAAAGTCCTTTATCAAATGGCAAAATTAAAAGCTCAAACACATAAAACGAATGGAAAACAACTGTCATGTTCCTGACTTGGAACAGTCATTTCCTTATATAGAAAATGGTAGATTAAACCTGTTCTTATAGCTAGCTAAACCTCTCACTTGTATGACAGTCACATAGAATTCCATTATATTGACTCCAATGTATACGTATGACCAAAACAAACAGATTAAATTATGCGTGTGTGTATTTGCGTTTGTAAACAACGCTGATATTAAATAGATCATCGTTGAGAAGATGTTCATAAGCATTTCAGTTTGAGCAATACAATGTTGGGCTTATAGGACTGAAGCAACATTCTTACGGACAAAAACGGACTTTCAATCTGCAAGTTTGTTCTCAGTTCAGATTTTAATTTCGTATTTTTTTTACGTATAGAAATATTTATGATTTCCATTGCTGTATAGGACTTTGTCATAATCCATTTCTTTCAGTATGTTGTTGTAGCTTAACAAATATCATAAACTGGCTTTTTCACCAATTCAAACTTCAAAAAGTATCTTCCATTTAAAATATAAATAATAGTAAATAACAACATTTTGAAGTAAACAGTTAAGCGGCTTAATTTTTATAGTACTTAGATTATTTTCACTATTATACAGTAATTCTAAGTATTATTATGCAATAATTGCTTACAAATATTGAGTAGGCCCTAAATAGAAAAGTATTATAAGAAAATTAGAATGTTGAATTGCACATACGATGTGGTCCAATGAAATATATTTATGACAAATAACAATTTACATAACATTTGGCAAGATTAGACGTTTAATACAACTGCAAAGTGCGCGACTTTATTAGATTAAAACCGCGAAAGAGTCGTACATTAGTTGATCATTCATTGTGTTTTTAAACATTACAAAGAAAACTAAAGATTAGGCAGAGCGAACCAAACCTAAAACCAGCGGTTGAACTCGATTGTTCTGGAAGGGTCCGCACTAACTGCTAAAAAGTGCTATACATAAGAATTAATAATTATATTCTGAATTTCATAACGGATAAGACAGTAGTATGATATATTACCCCGATGGGTGGTTTCATCAAATTTGTTGAGCTAAATTCCCTTTCTTGATAATTCTAGATTTTTTTTGTAATTCTACTATAATATTCTTTTCCTTTCTGGGTGGTACTCATAATGCATGACAAGTAAACCCACATAATTGCCTAACATGTCACTTGCGGGAAAATAGAAAGGAGAAGATACGGGAGGATTTGCACTTTATAAGCTAAAAAGCCTTATCGAGGAAAATGACAGGCTTTGGCCATGTTTTGTGCAGGGTACGTTAAATATCAGCTGTCGAAAACGCAATACATTGATAAAGATTCAGCTGTGGTTACTTTTTAGTCAATTTTGTGGCGCGTAATCCCTATTTTTTTCATATTTTGAGATTTTCATAAGTTTAACATAGTTTCGAATATATTTACTTTTGTAAGTATGGACACATTATTTGCCACTTAAAATTTATAACATTTATATATTTTAAACGTGTTCCTTGTCACGATTCTTTGCTTTTCCTATGAAAACAATCAACGGCGAGATTGGATAGTGCAAAAACGTCCAGTTAGTGCACTCTTCTAAAAATAACCAAGTTAACCCACTCGAAAATCAAAGGAAAAAGTACAATTCATGTTATAAATGTATAGCATATTCTATAATTTATTTTTTGAATGCACATATAAGAAAGTCTGCCATTTCAGACCCTATGCATTGAACAAATCAACAAAGTATTTGATACCAGTATGCACAATTAATGCAGCTAATGTACAATCTGAGCGACATACTAAGAGATTCATTTTTGTCGAGCCTTCGACTTTTGTCGAAAAAGCGAGACATAGCGATCCTACATTCCGTCGGCGTCGGCGTCGTCGTCGTCGTCGTCGGCGGCGACGGCGTCCACAAATATTCACTCTGTGGTTAAAGTTTTTGAAATTTTAATAACTTTCTTAAACTATCCTGGATTTCTACCAAACTTGGACAGAAGCTTGTTTATGATCATAAGATAGTATCCAGAAGTAAATTTTGTAAAAAAAAAATCCTGTTTTTCCGTATTTTACTTATAAATGGACTTAGTTTTTCTGCCAGGAAACATTGCATTCACTCTGTGGTTAAAGTCTTTAAAATTTTAATAACTTTCTTAAACTATCCTGGATTTCTACCAAACTTGGACAGAAGCTTGTTTATGATCATAAGATAGTATCCAGAAGTAAATTTTGTAAAAAAAAAATCCTGTTTTTCCGTATTTTACTTATAAATGGACTTAGTTTTTCTGCCAGGAAACATTACATTCACTCTGTGGTTGAAGTTTTTAAAATTTTAATAACTTTCTCAAACTATCCTGGATTTGTACCAAACTTGGACAGAAGCTTGTTTATGATCATAAGATAGTATCCAGAAGTAAATTTTAAAAAAAATTCCTGTTTTTCCGTATTTTACTTATAAATGGACTTAGTTTTTCTGCCAGGAAACATTACATTCACTCTGTAGTTAAAGTTTTTAAAATTTTAATAACTTACTCAAACTATCCTGGATTTCTACCAAACTTGGACAGAAGCTTGTTTATGATCATAAGATAGTATCCAGAAGTAAATTAAAAAAAAAAATCCTGTTTTTCCATATTTTACTTATAAATGGACTTAGTTTTTCTGCCAGGAAACATTACATTCACTCTGTGGTTAAAGTTTTAAAAATTTAATAACTTTTTTAAACTATCCTGGATTTGTACCAAACATGGACAGAAGTTTGCTTATGATCAAAAGCTTGTATCTAGAAGGAAATTGTTATTAAAATTTTGTACTTGTTTATCCATATTTTACTTATGAATGGACTTAGTTTTTCTTCGAGTTAACATTACATACAGTCTGCAGTTAAATTTTTTAAAACATTTATTAGATTCATAAACTATCCTGGATTTTTACCAAACTTGGACAGAAGCTTCTTACAATATCAAAATTTATTGAGAGGAATATTTTTATGAAATTTTTTCCTCATCTCATTTTTGTTGAGCCTGCGATTAACAGCAAAAGTAGGCGAGACACGGGGTTCCGCGGAACCCTTACGAATTTTTTTAATAGATGGAAGCTAATATTTGTTCATCGTACATGATGTATATGTGTAAGAAGGAACATGCTCCCAGTAGAAATGGTGTAGAATCCCACAGAATTCCACTTTTTTCTTGATCGTATCAAGGATTTATACAGTATTCGTGGTATTGTTCACCAGAGTTAGTAACTTGTTATTGTGTACTTTTAGAAACTCATGCCCATCGTGAAGTAATTCCTCATCTGAATTTACTTGCTGAACATACAAATGGTGTCAGAGGAAACATCCACTTTATACAAAAGGTATGTTTATTTGTATAAATACCTCAAAATCAATAAGGATCTTCCTCCCATTATATGGTGACCAATGGGGGAAAAGAGGGGATGGGGTAACTGTATTCTGATGATTTTGTCTTGTATAGAAAAAACATAAAACAGTTAATTTTTCACAAAATTGCACCGATTGTAAGTTTGAGTTGCTCTTACTTGACCGATAACCAGAATGTCCTTTCACTGAGTACTTACTAACCTGTCGAAAAATTATATATCTATGTTCCGGAGTCAAAAGTCGGTAATATGAAAATACTCTATTGCACCAAAATTTTCGGAGTGTCAATTTTAGAAATTAAAATGAGAAATTATGAAAATCAGCAACATCGGAATAGTAGTTTTTTGGCATGAAAATGTCACTCACTACCATATCTGTTCAATGAATCGAGTATATTTTTGTTATGGTAGGAAAATTGTCATGCAATGATATCAATCCAAATTACATAGATTTTTTAGAATACCTTTATGGTTTGAAAGCTGTGTATTCGATATGCGAGTATTGGCAAGAGCAAATCGAAGTAAGGAAATGTTAGTGATCGAGCTCACATACCCGACACCCCTCACATAAAAGGCAAACACTTATATTGACCTGATGGCATAGTTTTTTTTCTGTTTATTTGAAGATATGATGTTTCCTCTGACATTACATGTTACCCTATATCCAAGTAAGTTGTAACATTTCATTTAGCATACGGAAACTACTTTTCTGCACAAATTTTCTGCTTTTTCAGTAACTACGACCTTAACCTTGGACATAGGGACCTCAAAATCAATAGGGATCTTGCTCTCATTATATGTATAAAAATAAGGAGATGCGGTATGATTGCCAATGAGGCAACTTTCCACCAAAGTTCAAATGAAGTGGATGTTAGCAATTATAGGCAACCGTATGGCCGTCAACAAGTAACCACATCATCAAATTATAGCAATCTTATTTGTAGTAGTTGATTTCGTGTCTGAAAACTTCTTTTCCTCATAAATATTAGCCTATTTTGGAAACTTTGAACTTGACCTTAGACATAGTGACCTCAAATTCAATACGGATCTTCTGCTAATTATATGTGACCATATATGTATCAAAGTATGGTTGCATTCAGTTACACATTTTTGGAGATTGTGATTTAAATTCGGATCAGAATCTACAATTATAAATATTCATATACAAGTTTGATCTTTATATAAATATCTATTTAGGCTAATGGTCCAGTAGAAATTGAATTAAACATAAATGGTTTTGAGATGAATGCAGCTAGTGCTTCCATAATTCATGGTTTTTACATTCATACCTTTGGAGATCTGACTAATTCCTGTGATTCATTGGGTTCTCACTACAATCGCCACGAAAAATTACATGGATCTGAAGAAATTGGCGCCAGGTATATATTTAGATTTCTACATGACTACTTGAACCCTCGCGTGATGTTGTATTCTTTTTAACTCTATTTATAAGCACATGATTAAATTTACAATAACGTAATTGGAATTCTCTAATAAAACGTATACATAATTTGTACTTTAAACTGTTGTGTCAATGTGCGTTGCCGACGTATAATGCATTTATAAAAGAGAGTTGGAAGATACCAAAGTGATATTCAAACTCATAAGTCGATGACAAACTGATAACGCCATAGCAAAAAAACGACAAAAAAGACATGCAAAAGTATACAAGACACAACATTGAAAATTAAGGACTGAGCAACACGATCCCTACAAAAACCGGGGTTACATGTTTCACTTGTGCTCCGGAAGGTTTAGCAGATCCTGCTTCATATGGGACGCCTGTTGTCTTTACAATCAAATAACCGGGCTATGGAACATGATTCAAATTGGATTGTCTTCCTTGTACCAGAAAATTATATACACGAGAAAACTATCCGATACTTCAGTTAAGTTAAAGATTTTTCGCAATTCCGGATTTCACATTTAAACTACAAGATACATTAGAGTTGTCATTCATTGACCAAAAATATCAAATATATTTTAAGTTATGTTGTTCTTATTACGTTCGTAAATTATGGAAGCATTTGTGATACTCCTTTAAAATAACTGGGCTATGGAACATGATTTAAATTGGGTTGTCTCCCTTTGACCAGAATATTATACACTTGAGAAACCTATCCGACACTACAGTTAAGTAGACGATATTTCGCAATTCCTAATTTGATATTTAAAGAAAGTACATTTGGGTTGTCTTTCATTGACCAGAAATATCAAATATATATTAATTTATGTAGTTCTTAGAAACTCTTATAACAAAAAAACAATAATACAACTTACACATGATGCATTGTAATAAAACAAATAATGAGGTTAAAGGGGCGGGGCATTATCTACGAGATATACAGAAAAATTGAAACATGATTTTTTTGTTTTTTCAATCATTAATGAAAGTGAAATAGTGAAATGATAATTCGCTTATAGCAGCCAGTTTGGTGTAATTTTGTCGAAATAAGATAAGAAACATCGCTGATGAAGTATTCACTTGCAATTGAATAATTCGACCTCATTGAATCCGTATTACTGTGATTTCCAATTTAACCCTCAGCTGGAGATGGGTTACGCATGCACTAGGCGTGTTGAGCTATTAAAAGGGAAAAAAATGTCATCATTGAAAATGAAACAAGGGTTAACCATTTGGTTGACTGATTCGATCAACAAAAACTCATTCTTATACATGTACAGGTAAAAACGATGATTAACATTTTTTTTTACCTATAATATGAAATCAAACAGACCTAGAAAAATTCAAATGCACGTGTTCGCTATCTATTTATATCTATATTTATATCTACATTGGGTTATATGACCGTCGGCAGTCTTCGGAGGTCACCTCGATGGTTAATTAGATTGCGTCTAGACTAAAATACACACGAAATGCTGATACATATTATCCCCGGCTTAGTATATTTCTAGGAGTTTGATTGGTTAACGCACGTCGTTACAAAACCCATAGTCCCTGGGTGTTGCTAACCCATATCCCCGGACGTTGCTACCCATTACATCGGGGAATTTCACGCGCGTTTTCCTTAGTTCCATGGTTGTTCCTTATGAAATATCGAATTCTGTAGATTTTCCATGATGTCTGTATAATTAAATACTTAATCCACTAACGATTTTATCTTATTATATCGATTATTTGCACTCATTTTAGTAAATGCATCACTATGCAGCCACATTGTCTATGAATGGTACTACTGACCTAGCTATGCAAATGACCCACGTTGACGTCACACCGTTTATGATGTAACTCTCACAACATTGCGCGCCAAATTCGACCCATTTCAGTTTCGATGTCTCTAGTTTAAAAACGTCTTATATTTGTCTTCCTGTAGGGTTCTACCAAAGGTAGTACCATACACCCCGTTAAAAATATGTCAAATTCCCAAATTTCAATAAAAGATATTTAAAAAATGAAAAAAACGTTGCTTTCACGTTACATTTTGTGGTTGAATTTCTCTAAAAATTGCAAGATTTGGACTAAGACCGGGGATAAATTCGTTATCTACGTTCGTATCCGTAGATATGGATATTTTAACACCCTTCGGTACCATGTACACCCTTCGGCTTCGCCTCAGGGTGTACTTGGATACTTCAGGGTGTAACAATATCCATATCTACGGATATGAACGTAGATAACTTGTATTATCGAGGCCATGCATCGTAAATTGTTTATTTAAGACTTTTTGTAATTTAGATATACGTTTTAGTATGTTTTAAATCAAATATGAGAATTTGAGTCAAATCGGTGAACATGAATTTGACAGCTAATACCCCTTTAAAGTTATAAAATTAACCGTAACATGGGGGAAAACATGTTAAAATAGAGAAATACAGATGTTTGACCTTATAATGTTATAAATCCCATAAGATACCGTAAGCAGAAAAACGGTATTAAAACTTGAAAAACGCTAAATCAAACAATTGGAAGAAGAATATATTTGAGTTACAAACAAGTTTACTCAGTTTATTTTCTATACCAAAGACTATCTATACTAAATGTGTATTTTCCCAACTTTTATCCAATTAACTCTCATCATGTTTTAAATTCTAAGACTTATTTATTCAAATCGATTTATCATTCTACAATATTTTTCGATTTCAGTTCTTTGATACTATTAGCATTCTAGTAATTATCATATCGCCCAACTATATTTTTTAAAATAATTTTAGACATATCGTCGACCCTGGTAATATTTCCTCTGACGAAAAGGGTGATGTGATCTTTAAAATGACAAAAAGCAAAATAACACTGAATAAAAGAGACTCTTTAATGGAAAGGAGTGTCATGGTACGTTGAATAAGATTTCTTTTAATCGTTGCATAACGACAAGCAATTAAGAAAAAGTATCAACAAAAATACCAAAACTCCAAGGTAAAATCATAAAGGGGAAGTCCATAAAACCAAACAAACCCATATATCAACCAGCGGAACGAATGGGAATACAACTGTCATATTCCTGGATTGGTACATGCATTTTCGATAGAATGCTGGTATAACAACTACTACCTGACGTTTTTGACCAATCTTTGAAAAAAAAAATTTATGTCCTAAGAAAATTAAAAGATATAAGGATAATTTGTTTATATTGGAAATCGATTATCCATGCAATTACCGTTTTTATTCTTCTGATTTTGTTAAGAATATAAACTAATGATACCAATAACAGTGCAACCCACCGATGATTCTGGAATTAACTTCAAAGCTCTTCGCGTGTTCAGGTACTCATACATCCTTGGCTTTCAATATTTTTGGTGTGAGCTTTCCTGTTGGAGATTAATCAAGAAAAAGGCTTCGGAGGCATACAATTTATAAAGTGCTATTTTCATCTTCATAGTGTTCGCTAGAGACAAACAGTTCTAAATGTCAGATATGTTATTGTTTAGTGTCTATTTATCATGTTGTCTGTCCTTTCGTCTTTTATCTATTGACCAATTTGTCTCTCCTTTCTCTTTGGTCATAGTGTTGTCTGTCCTTTTTCTTTGGTCATGGTATTGTCTGTCCTTTCTCTTTGGTCATGGTGTTATCTGTCTTTTCTCTTTAGTCATGGTTTTACCTTGGTTTTTTTCTCTTCGGTCATGATGTTGTCTGTCCTTCCTCTTTTGTGATGGTGTTGTCTGTCCTTTCTCTATGGTGTTGTCTGTCCTTTCTCTTTGGTCATGGTGTTGTTTATCCTTTCTCTCTAGCCATGGTGTTGTCTGTCCTTTCTCTTTGGTTATGGTGTTGTCTGTCCTTTCTCTTTTGTAATGGTGTTGCCTGTTTTCTCTATTTGGTTATTGTACTGTCTGTCCTTTCTCTTTGGTCGTGGTGTTGTCTGTTCTTTCTTTTTGGTCATGGTGTTGTTTATCCTTTCTCTTCAGTCATGGTGTTGTTTATCCTTTCTCTTTAGTCGTGGTGTTGTCTGTTCTTTTAACTAAGTCATGGTGTTGTCTGTCTTTCCCTTTAGTCGTGGTGTTGCCTGTTCTTTCTCTTTGGTCTTTGTATTTTTTGTCCTTTCTCTTTGATCTTAGAGTTGTCTGTCCTATCTCTTTAGTCGTGGTGTTGCCTGTGTTTTCTCTTTGGTCATGGTGTTGTCTGTTCTTTCTCTTTGGTCATGGTGTTGTTTCTCCTTTGTCTTTAGTCATGGTGTTGTCTGTCCTTTCTCTTTGGTCATGGTGTTTTCTGTTTTTTCTCTTTGGTCATGTTGTTTTATGTCCTTTTCTGTCCTTTCACTATGGACATGGTGTTGTCTGTCCTTCCTCTTTAGTCTTGGTGTTGCCTGTTCTTTCTATTTGGTCATTGTGTTGTTTGTCCTTTCTGTTTAGTCTTGGTGTTGCCTGTTTTTTCTCTTAAGTCATGGAGTTGTCTGTCCTTTCTCTTTGGTCATTGTGTTTTCTGTTCTTTCTTTTTGGTCATGTTGTTTTCTGTCCTTTCTCTATGGACATGGTATTGTCTGTCCTTTCTCTTTAGTCTTGGTGTTGCCTGTTCTTTCTATTTGGTCATTGTGTTGTTTGTCCTTTCTCTTTAGTCGTGGTTTTGCCTGTATTTTCTCTTTGGTCATGGTGTTGTCTGTTCTTTCTCTTTGGTCATAGTGTTGTCTGTCCTTTCTCTTTAGTCTCGGTGTTGTCTGTCCTTTCTGTTTGGTCATGGTGTTGTCTGACCTTTCTCTTTAGTCGTGGTTTTGCCTGTTTTTTCTCTTTGGCCATGGTGTTGTCTGTCCTTTCTCGTTGGTCATGGTGTTGTCTATTCTTTCTGTTTGGTCATGGTGTTGGCTGTCCTTTCTGTTTGGTCATGGTGTTGTCTGTCCATTCTGTTTGGTCATGGTGTTGTCTGTCCTTTCGTTTTGGTCATGGTGTTTTTGTTCTTTCTATTTGGTCATGGTGTGCCCGCCATTGCCTTCAGATTATTTAACTTGGAAAAGGTTATCTCAAACTGAATGATGAAATTAGAAAAAAGAACTTCCAATATTAAATGATATAACGAGATTAAAAGGTTGAACTTGAACATTTAAATTCCGTATGTGCTTTACAATATAATATTAACAGAGAACATTCTGAAAGACGTATGATATGCATAGCGTGCGTACATGAACAACACGTGGTTTCTGAAAGCAATCATACCACATCTCATTATTTCATATTAATCAGGTACCCTCGAGTTTGGGAATAAAATTGAGAATGGAAACGGGAATGTGTCAAAGAGACAACAACCCGACCAAAGAGCAGAAAACAGCCCGAGGCCACAAATGGGTCTTCAACACAGTAGAAAATCCCACACCCAGAGGCCTTGCTTCATCTGGCTCCTAAACAAAAATGTGTACTAATTCAGCGAAAATGGATGTCACACTTAACCCCGAAACATTTAAATGAACTAAAATTTAAGAAAAAAACATACACGACTAACAAAGGCCAGAGTTCCCTGACTTGGGACAGGCGCAAAAAATGCGGCGGGGTTAAACGTGCTTTGTGAGATCTCAACCCTCCCCCTATACCTCTAGCCAATGTATAATAAACAAACACACAGCAATGCGCACAGTAAAACTCAGTCCGAGTCCGATGATAGGATAAGTAACAGAAGAAACTAAGCAAAATGACAATGATCAACATAAATTAACAAAGGAATACTAGCAGCTACTGACATGCCAGCTATGATATAACATTAGGGAGTTTAAAAACCAAGCCTCAGCATATCAGCCATAACCGTCTAAGGTCACAGTCATCTATAGTGGTTTACATGATTGTCCTTTGGTCTCTAGCGGTTAGTTGTCTAGTATTCGCAATCGTATTTTCATAAGTTTATCTTTGTCTGAGTGATTTGAAACCTAAGCCAAAGCAAAATGACTATATTTAATACTAGGAATTAATAGACAAAATGTATCATATGAATCATGGCAATACCGATGCATTATCAATTGGGCGGATAGTCAACCAACAGCAGTACCAACATAATGGTAGTAATATCATATGGTATGAACATATTGTATGATTACAGTTCGTGCAACTTCTGCGTCTGGAATAACATTCATAAGTTACGCAAGATACCAAACATTTGGGAAGCCAAAAATATAAAATCACATTTGCTCGAGGCTGCTACAATCTTAGCTATTATAGCACAATAACATATTTTTCGTTTTTGCACAACTATATAAGTTTTAGTATGTTTACACTTTATGTATGTATAAGAACATTTACATAATGTTTACATGTACATAGTAATTCAATATTCATGTTTCAAACTTGGTAATTCTATATGTGTTGTTTTTAGATTCACCAGAGATCAGAAGATCTTGAAAAAGGCGGAGATGGCTGAAGTTTATCATGCGGTAACGCCGGTCCTAGAACTGCTTGCTGTGTAACTGGAAGAGAAGACTCAAAACAACTTAAATCTATTCGTATACATAAATACAAACGATGCGCCTGATTCTCCTCTACAAGACCTATATAGCCATACCCCGTGACACCCCTCATTATTTTTCTCTAGAAGCCATGGAATAAGCCAACCCTCCTGTTTTTTTCAAAATTTTTCAAATTTCGAGTCCTAGTTTCAGATTTTTGAACAAAGCGCCACTCGAAACCATGCGCAACAGATGCACCTGTTTCTCCTCTACAAGACCTATATAGCCATACTCCGTGACACCCCTCATTAATTTTCTCTAGAAACCATGGAATAGGCCAACCCCCTGTTTTTTTTTCAATTTTTTTTCAAATTTCGGGCCCTAGTTTCAGATTTTTGAACATAGCGCCACTCGAAACCTTGCGCAACCGATGCGCCTGTTTCTCCTTTACAAGAACTATATAGCCATACCCCATGACACCCCTCATTATTTTTCTCCAGAAGCCATGGAATAGGCCAACCCCCTGCTTTTTCAAAAATTTTCAAATTTCGAGCCATATTTCCAGATTTTTTAACATAGCGCCACTCGAAAACTTGCGCAAACGATGCGCCTGTTTCTCCTCTACAAGATCTATATAGCCATACCCCGTGACACCCCTCATTATTTTTCTCTAGAAGCCATGGAATAGACCAACCCCCCTGCCTTTCATTTTTTTTTTTAAATTTCGGGCCCTAGTTTCAGATTTTTGAACATAGCGCCACTCGAAACCTTGCGCAAACGATGCGCCTGTTTCTCCTCTACAAGACCTATATGGGCAATAAATCAAGGGTAAGTAAATTTTGGCTCAAAATGGTCTATATATTTTTTTTCTATCACCAAAAGTTTCATTTCTGCAAATTTGTTTGTTAGTTCAATTAAACAAAGATAGCAAAGGTGCTATTTTTTTCAGGGAAGGACTACTTTTACATACGTTCTAAATTGAAGTGGGTGCATTGGTGGTCTAACACCTACAACCAATCCGTTGATAGGTGCAGATTTACTGTGGTACTGAATATTACCCTGAAAAGGGGTGTGGCTTGTTTTACAAACAGATGTGGTAAATCCCAATTCATGGTAGAGAGTAAATTGCAATTTCTGGACGGAATATCTGCCTTTTAAATATTTTTTTTATTGAACGACCGTTGCTGTCTTATTCAATTTTTCGGTTTTTAGATATATCTCCTTAGTGTTCGCTCGCTTATTGTTCGCTAGTAATTGTTCGCTAGCTTCAGCCTGGTAAAGTTAACAGTTTCAAGTGTTAGTTTTCTAATTACTGTGTTTGCTCTTCAACAACACCAGTAAATCATGCACATGCCTTGTAGTACATATACTATGCACATATAAATGAACATTTTATGTATTATTCAGTTTACTAATAATAAACTGTTCAATTGACAATAACAAAGAGTTCGCCCTACGAGGCAATGCGAACTTTTTTTTTATTCAACAACAATATTGTACATGCTGTTAACATATTTCTTCACTGGTACAGCTATTTCAGTGAAGATCCCTGTATATCAGCACCTAAAGACCAGGGTATCTTCAGTTATATATTTATAAATTTGTTAGTATATATACTATTTATCATTGTTGTTTGTGCTGTATTTAGACCACTCTACCAAGAAATTTGTTTTGCATGCACACGTATAAAAATTGCGGTTTTTATCCAACGCAATCATAGGTTTGAACGTTGTTTTCAATTTAGACTTGTTACTATTTATCATTAATATATTATGTCTTTATTATCTTACTATTATAAGGAAATAAATAAATAAATAAATAGGAACTTTATATCAAAAATAGTAGCTCTTAATTGTGAACTTATTGTCTATCATTCACAATAAAGTATGTTGCTGCGCGTGCGTTAAAGGACACGATAACCTTGACGAACATATTATTTTCATATTCTTTATTAGTCTTTGTGTAAAAAACTTTAATTAAGCTCAATGAATCTGTTGTATACTTTTGCCATTTTATTTTGACAAATACACTTTGTTATTTAATAAACATTAAGAACAGTAATAAAAGCGCTGTTCCTTTGCTGGGACTTGGTCACATGCGTGTGAGGATTTGTGTCACAAATTTATATACCATATCCCTTCTTTTTCTTTATCAAGGTTGATACAAAATTTACAAAGTTCAACTTTTGTAAACTTCTGATCTTTCATATAATTTGAAAATCATACCTTTAAAGACAAATTTATGCCACCTCCGTAGTTGGTCTTGGCACGAACGTCAGTACTGATATGCTTATGTTAGGGGGTATCAGTTGACGTTTAATCGTCTCATAATTTGGGACATCTTCAAGTTTTAATTGAAATTTATTTGTTCTTGAATTAAATTACTCGATAGACCTGATTACTAAGGAATTTCCTACATACCCTAATAACCTAGTCTACTAAAACATTAACTCTCATATTCGATATGTTGAATGTATACTAAGTATACGGTTATGAATATTTTTAAGAAGAATAAGAATTTTTAAAAAGTATTGTACACGTTATTGTATAATAATTAAACACATGATATGCTGACATAACTTTGGTCCAAGCCTACCAGGGAAGTATATTTTGACTATTGAATATAAGGGCCTAAAGGTGTCTTAAGGAAAAGTGTCTAAATAAGGAATATAAATACATGTACTGGACCTGGTTAAATAGCTTCATAGCACTGAATAAAAAGTGTCTAAAGATAAAGGAACATACATACTGGTTTTATAGCTTCATAAGACAGAATAATACATTTATCTCTAGCAGAACAGACCGAAATAAGTCTTAACAGAACAAAAGTGTTAACACTGTAATGACAGAACAAATGTGTTAACACTGTAATGACAGAACAAATGTGTTAACACTGTAATGACAGAACTTGTAATGACAGAACAAATGTGTTAACACTAATGACAGAACAAATGTGTTAACACTGTAATGACAGAACAAATGTGTTAACACTGTATAGGCAAAACAAAAGCCATAAACATGTATGATAGAAATTAAATTGTTTCATATTTTTCATATCGGGGACTTTTATAGACGACTATGCGGTATGGGTTTTTCTTATTGTTGAAGGCCCTACGGTTGCCTATAATTGCATGCATCCGCTCCATTTGAACTTTGATGGATAGTTGTCTCATTTGCACTCATACCACATCTCTTAATTTTTATAATGACAAAAAGTCTAGTGCTCACACACCAGGTTCACGTTTTATTACAGTTTTAAGAATAGTGTTCACACAACAGGTACAAGTTTTTATTAAAGTCTTAAGAATAGTGTTTACACACCAGGTTCATGTTTTTATTAAAGTCTTAGGAATAGTGTTCACACACCAGGTTCAGGTTTTTATTAAAGTCTTGAGAATAGTGTTCACACACCAGGTTCATGTTTTTAATAAAGTCTTAAGAATAGTATTCGAACGCTAATACACACAAAATGTATAAAGAAAGAAAGTTGATACATATCTAATATCTCTAGAAATTGTGTAAAAAGCAAACCTTCAAAAATGAGCAAATGTTGATGGTCCGAATCCATTTAAACAAGTTAAAACAAGGAAAGTTTCGTTTACTCTTTTGAAAACATTACCTCGTATAGTTGTTACGTTGCATTGCTTGACATCATTTATCTTGTTTTTATCATTTATTCATAAAAGGATTATTTTTACTTTATTATTGAATTACTAATTCAAAGACTTTCATTAAGACTCTTCTGTAAAAGTTTATAGTTCATCGGACAAAATAGCAACGATTTTTACCGTGACCGCTGTACATTTGATATTAGGAATTTAATAAAATAACAAGATTACAAATGTGCATATTAATCCATCATAAGCCGATTATTTTTTCAATGTTGACCTTGTGTTTATTTTTGCATTGATATACGATCATTCGTTAAGGCATTAACATTGTTAATTTTTATTAACCTTTAGCGTTCATGTAGACAAATATGTTGTGAACATTTTGTTTCTTTGTGTCGTTGGAGGTCATGCGAATTAATTTCTTGTATCAACTGCACAATGCAAAAAATATATATAATAGCATTAAATGTGACCTTAATTTCAGCTTTTACACTGTTGAGATCCGTTTGATTGCTTGCTATAGTAACACAATTCTGAAGCAACACATGTAATAGACAGCAAATTGTACGGAAAGATTTTAATAGTTTTCGGTAGTATTTATACCAAAGATATTATTCAAAATGCTTAAAATTGAAAATTGAAATATAAGGCACGCGAAACAGCTAATCCTTTTCTAAATAGTCCCCGAAATTGTATAATTTCAGTTCTGGCCAGCGAACAAATTCTGGACAACGACAACAAATATCATTCAAACAAAGCAAATCCTATTTATAGCGCATTTGGTTGAAATTTTATTTAGAAAAAAAGAGCTGATCGCAGGCAATTAGGCTAGTACGGGTTTAAACTATTTTGTATTATTTGTAGTTGGGATCAATTCTAATCTTTCTTAGAAATTTTCAGAAACTATTCTAGAACAGTCTGTTTGTAAAAGCCTGAGATTCGGGATGTCCAGTCCCCTCCCCCTCCCCCTCCTTCGTGATAAATGTGGTGTTAGTCCAACAAACAAAACAATTCTGTGTATCGTCTGACACCAAATTTATAAAGTGTTTTATCTATGTTTTTTTTACGTCTTTATGTTCACATTATACGAACTAAATAGGAGTGGAATTTTAACGCTAAAAGTGTTTCAGTAGGGTTGTTAGGAACGACTGAATTCGACACTACACATGCTTTTTTATCACCATCATGGGTGACCGATACGATGTGTTTGTATCTCAACTCACGCGATCTACTGATCTGTAAATTTACAAATTGTTTCCTAATCCCAATTGTAACAGTTTGACTGAATCTAAATTCGTATGGTGAGTTATTATACATACACAGCAGGAGATGCATACCCTGTGGACTCGCCCTGTATAGTCCCTATTGGAGTTCATGTGATTTCCTCAGTTTTGACTTGGTTTGTTTATTCAAAATGAATTAACGACCTTTGAATATTGGTTAACTATTTATTCACATGAAGTTGTGGTTAACATACAGATTTAACGTTTTTAAATACTTGGATTGTTACATGGAAGGAGTAACGATTTTAGATCAAGTTGTTTTTTTATTTCTTATAATAGTTTTTCAATAGTCAGGATTTTACATACCCTATATACACTACCACCTGACAAGGGTATCAAGGGGTTAAATATGTATAGAAAATAATACAGTACCTATACAATATGTATCGCTGACTAATTGATTTTTGCAATAAGAGTATTTAAGGTTACATATACATTTTATTTGATTGATTAATCTCTCTCTCTCTGTGACTTTCTCTCATACAATACTAATACTTTTCACTCATCTGTTTGGTATCAAGTTGTTTGGTATCAGGTTTAAGAACAGAATAATAACTCTATATGAAATTTATGGGTCTACCATAATCTTTTTTTAAGGAAATACTATATATATAACAAGTCACTGCATAATCCAGTGATTAAACTGTTTTGTTTTAAATATAAATACCAAAGGTTAGACAGCTTTTTTACAACATGCGATTAAGGTGATAAAATGTTGCATTAATCTTCAAAGTATGTTTATTTTAGGTGTTTGTGTTCCAAGTTTTTCTTATTTATTTTTTAAAGGATTAACTTTCTTTTGTATTTATCAATATAGTTTTAATGCTTCCGATAGTAAATAAAGCAATAATTCTAAAATGACATACCAACATGGGTTTATAGAGTCCATAAAGTTTAACAACAAGCAAGAGTATTCTTAACAAAACGGATACAGAACCTCAACGGAAAAAAATATATTTTCGAGACAAAACAAAACGTTTAACGAACTCATAGTTTATTTCTACACAAACCAGACCTATCTGTCTTTTAAACCAAAATGTAACCTATTTGTCTCGTATGTATACTTAAAATAAATTTCCAACTAACAAGCGAGGAGCCTGTTATTTTGTAGATGTCGTTGATTGCTGTCTGTCTTATTTGTCTTAGTACCATAAATCAGTCCACTATTTTTTTCTTTTGAAGCGTTTTGAATTTTGTCATGTGTAGGTCTTACTACAGTTTCGTGTTTTGCTCATTGTTGAAGGTCGCACAGTACCCTATAGTTGTTTACATTCTCGTCCTTTGGTCTCTGGAGGATAGTTGTCTCATTGGCAATCATTTCACATCTCCTTATTTTCATATTTATGGATAAATTTGATCATTATAGTCAATGTATAACACTCGTTAGCAAAATATTTATGTTTGTTGTTCCCTCAGCAGGATTTGTAAGCCGAGTAATGCCTCTCCTCGCCTGCTTTATCTAGGGTTGCTGAAGCCTGCTTCCGGGTGCGGGATTTTCTCGCTGTGATGAAGACCCATTGTTGGCCTTGGGATGTTTTCTGCTCTTTGGTCGGGTTGTGGTCTCTTTGACACATTCCCCGTTTCCATTCTCAATTTTATTGTAACACAATACATGGTGTTTAGTTGCAAGAAGATGGTGTACCTTTCAGATCAGCTATATTTTGTCTGTCGTAAAGGATGATAATGTTACTTACCATGCCACCACATCAAATTTTAATTTGATTATATACGTCTAAACATGTGACAACTTTAAGACAGACATTCTTCATCGGATAACCCGTGGTTATACAGGACTAACACCATAAATTATATATAACTAGAAGATGCCCGAGAAATCGCGAGGTCTACAATCGGGCAAGTGTTGAAACAAAGAGTGGCAATGGTGCCTGTGTTTACACATAAAAAGGGGGAGGGGTCCGGACGTCGGGTGCCTGTGTTAATGTAACAGCCACTATGTTCCGTCAGTTACTTTGTTCCGGCGGAACTTTTCAACTAGTTATTTCGTTCCGATGGAACTTTCCAACTAGTTGTTTTATTCCGAGTGCAGTCGAAAAGTTCCGGAAAAGGAACTTATCAACTAGCCACAAAGTTCCTCTTTGGCAAATAAGTCAAAACCGGAACTAACAAACTAGCCCAAAAGTTCCAATGGAACTTATCAACCATTCACAAAGTTCCATTTGGAGAATTGATGCAAAGAACCACATGAGGAGGGGGTATTCTTCCCTCTCTTGA